CCAGAATCCTTTTGCTCGTTATTAGCTCTTCGCTTCTGGCAATATGATGTCGTTGTCCGCCCTTTGAGTGCCTAACCGAAGTTTATCTGACACAGCTGCTAAGAAGCTCGCAGCAAATGTTCTGTAAATATAGACACGCCTCCAAAAGGGCGTTTTATCTATGGACAATATTCTTACTTTGAACCTAATGCATCTGTTCATCAAATTTACTTATATTTAATTACAACTTATTACTATTATTATTATTATTTTTATTATTATTATTATTATCATTTTTATGACAAATATTAACAACGCTTCTTTCTTTAAATTAAGAAATAACCCCTTAGTACTCGACTTTTACTTTTTCTTATGCAATATCTATCGCTCCCACCGCTTCTTTCTTCTCAAACATGTTTAGAAATAAGTTAACTCTGAACGATGCACATTCTTTTTATTCTGCCTGCACTACGCTTCTCTCTAAGAAACTATCCTTGTTGACTTTTTCTTTACAACTTGGCTTTTATTCTCTGTCATACAGTTCAACTAACGTTTTCTTAGATGATTCTTTCACCGCTTCTTTCTCCTCGAACGTGCTTAGGACTAAGTTTATTATGAACAATGAATATTATGCACTACGCTTCTTCCTTTAAACTAACTTTAAACTACCCTTGTTGCCTTTAGCTTTACTACTCGACTTTTACTCTCTGTTATCCCGACGTTTTCTCCCACCGCTTCTTTCTTCACATAAAAAGCTTCTTAACTCTCTAACAAAATCGGCTAATGCTTTTGTCTTCCGAACAATTTCAACAAAAATTTCAATCGATTCAAACTTTTCGTGATTAATTGTTCTTCTACGAGCCGACTTCCACTTTTTGCCACAACCTGGGAGGTTACCTCCCTTCGGCTTCCGCATCTCTCGTCAACTTAATAAGCTGCTCCTACTCTCCCATAAAATCGATTCATGCTACCTTTTTTTGCCTTCACAATTTGAGTAAGAATTTCAATCGAAGCTCGAAATCTGTGGCTTCAGTACGCAGTGCGGTCTGTTGAGGCGCTTTCGATTAATAACAACGGCATAAAGCCTTGTAAGGACTAAGTCCTTGAAATTAATTATGCTAATTTTAATCCTTTTTGGCAGTGCTTTTACGCTAACAAATAACATTGCGACCAACTAATCTGGCCATTAAACGAACCGAACCGAGCCGAGAAACCTTCTACGTGGGCGACTGGCCCAAAACCAAAGCTTGAACTCACTTTGTGCAAACTGAGCACTTAATACTCCAAAAACAAAACCAAAACCAACAACAGCGACAAATAAAAAGCCAACAAGAAATGAAAATCTTGGTTTGTGGGTGCGTGGGGCAAATTGGGCAACTAAGACCCTGAGCCATAATTTGGCCTTGGATTTGTTGCCCATTTGGGCGGGGACTCAGCAGAGGCCGTTGCCAAATGACCAACAACCGCAACAGGATTTGTGGCTCCAGGAGTAGGAGCAGTCCAGTCAATCCAATGCAATCCGAAATCGTAAAACCATGAGCCTCTCGGCGCGAGTTCTTTGTCGGTCTCCTTCAAAAAACGAACTAGTATTTTTCACGTCATAGATCTTAATCTCAAGCTCGGAAATGTTTTGCATACTATTGTGAGGCTATTATAATTTTGTTATGAAATGTGCTACGCATCGAAGAAATTGGATTTGCAGCCAAATATTAATCGATGAAGTCAGGTTCGTCTGTCTTTAAGCGAACTAAAATCTCAGTTTAAGCTTTAGATGGGTCTGTCTTTCTGTTGCAGGCTGAATCGATATACTATATCATAAAGCTGGCATAGGAACAATCGGTCGAAAATCAACTTTAAATTAATTATTTGTTTGAAAAATCTTGTGTTTCCAAGATAGCTCGACTAAACGTGACATTTACCACGCTCCTCACTTATATCCAACATTTTATCAGACCATTATTTATAGAGTTTGATAAAAATATTCCTTATACAAATTATAAACCGTTTGAATAATACAATTTCGATAAAATCTCCAAATTCTTAAATTTAAAACTTAAATTTAGTTCAATCTTTTGAAGCTGGCATAAGTTGAGTTTGTTTGCCAACTCGTGTTCTTGTTAGCGAGCATACACTGTATTTATGAGGCACATACAGACGTCAAAAACGACCAAAAAACATATTCGCTAATTAGTTACAGGGTATTCGCAGCCTTTCAAATGCATCATATTGTTAACAACTGCTGTTCACCTTTTATGCTTCAAATTACCCACAGAAATAGAACATTAACCAAAAATATAATCCCTTACTTCGAAGCAGCTAAGTCCCTTCCAAGCACATAAACAGAGATTGCGGCAAGAAGATCCGAGGGGTGGTGGGGTTCTTCGGACGGGCACCGAGTTGAGCCGGGAGGCGCGCTGCAGTTTCGCTGGCAGCTGCAAATGAAATTGTTTTCTGGCCGGAATTTATAGAAAATGTATCTGACGCCGCTGCTTATCCTTAGCTCTTACCCAGCTTCAGTTGTCACATGAGCTCGCTCCGCACACATCCCAGCGGACTCGTGTTTGTAGTACATCTGAAATCCCCATTGTCAGCGGCGGCGGCGGCTGGGGCACAGCTGCGCAATATGAGTAAGCCCGATATTATGTAGATATGCTGGAGGAGGCAGTCCCAATCCCAATCCCAATCCACTTTACACTGCACTGCATGCCAGTGAAGCCTGCCTAGAAATGATTGAAGGATTTCGCTACTGTTGCCCTGGCGACATGCAAATATATGTGTGTGTTGTGTGTGTGTATGCTTGTGTGTGTACGTTGAGCACTTTACTTTCATCCGTAATTGATATTTTACAATTGTCCTGGCTGGCAACTAACTCCTTCAGGCGGCATGTGTCCTCCTCAGCCAGTTTGAGATCCGGTGTCAAATTGTGCAGAAATTCTATTTCTCACTGTCTCCGAGCTCCTGCATTAACTCTTCCCTGCAGCAGCGTATTTCTCAGTGCAAAAATATACATTTATTTATATTTAACTTAATTTAATGGATCATGCATGTATATTCTGTGTTCAATTATTCCGAATATTCACAAAAGAAACTTCAGGGCACATCATCAACTCGGCCAAAACTGAAACTGTAATCAATCTTGGGCTAGGGCAGTGGGCAGTAAGGCGGAAAGGTAGACAGGCAGGCAGGTAGGCAGGTTGGGATGGTATATAAAAAACCAACGAACCGCAACGAAAAGTTTCATTTCGTTAGGGGCAAATCGTGAATTATTTGGCAAATGCCTTGCGGCAAATTTGTGCATCCGCCCACTTGAACCCGCCCCCAATTCAGCTACTGCCGCTGCTGCTGCTGCTCACCTGGCGGTGGTGACGACGACGACGGCGGCGGCGAAGATCAAAGCGAAATGTGTAACAAAATTGCCAATTACATATAAAGCACGCAAAGCTGTCTGTGCCCGGGCGCACCTGGACGGTGGCTCTGCTGCTTGTGTGTGTGTGTGTGGGTGTGTACGTGTGAAAGCGGGCGTATGTGAAAGAGATGGTCTAAAACAAAAGGCCCGCTATTGCCGGCAATTGAATTCAATTGTGAATTCAATTTTGAAGTTGGCAACGCGGCGGCCAGCAATGGCAACGCCAACATTTCTGCCTTCAAATGAAGCATTTACAGAACGTGTGGCAACGCCATGCGAGTTGCTTGTCTCTCTCTCTCTCTCCCTCGCACTCAACACATTCACGCGCGGTCTGCTTTTGCTTGCATTTGCGTGCTTGTATGTGCGTGTTTATGTATGGCAAAGGCGTAAAACGAATTTGCACTAAATTCCTTGACACCCTCTCACTCCCCCTCGTGTGCTCGTGCTCACGCCTGTGCCCTGCTGCGTCGACATCTTTTCAGCTGCTCCTTCGCCTTTCGCCGCGTCGCCTTATTGAAGCGAAATTGAATTAGTGCGACGGCGAAAGCGGAAGCGGTTGCTAAGCAGGAAATTGCCTGAAATCAGGCGCACGTAAGCCCCGTCCCGTCACGCCCCTCCAACCACACACACACACACACACACACACACGCACAAGCGCACACTCACACTCTCAGTGTATGCGAGTGTGTTTCATTAAAATCTCGAATATCGCCACTTGGTCTGTGCACACTTTTGGCTTTTATGCGAACATTTTGTCCCGCTTCAGACTTCATTTGCATGCACCGCCAATGGCCACCGTCCGCCGCTCTTGATAATGGCGTTCATTTCATCTTAATGGATTTCGCACTTAAGCGCAATAGTTTTGATTATAAACACTAATTGAAAGTCATTTAAATAATGCAATTTATATTTTCGTTGCCCGGCATAGCGATGCTCGCCAGCTGTGCCTCTTCATAGACTGTTAATTGAGTCGGAGCGCAAACTACTCTATTTCTTTCTTCCCATATAATTGGTGGAGTTAAAGCATGAGATATTACTTATTGGAGTCTGATAAGAAAAACGTAATATTGTATTCTATTTTAATGCTAACTCTGTTTTGGTAAGAGATGTTAAAATATGTTATTGCTAGATTCATAGTTAGAAAGCTCTGATCTGCAAAATGAATTAGTTTTTTTTTGTATAATATTTTCAATAGATTTCGTTTGGTTTCAATATATTAAATGTATTTTACACACATTCATGTGCCATATATACATGCACATTACCAGCAATGCTGAAGTGAATGCATGGAAACATGTGCCAGAAATACGTGAAACGAAGCGTAAATGAATTTTTCACTCTCCCATTAAAATTTAAGTGCACATTTTCCGGCGCAACGCACGAGAGGCTGCCGGGCGGCCACCGCCTGTGGAAATCGTAACCATTAAGCTTGAGGAAGTTTAGAAGTTGGAGCAGGACGTGGCATCCGGTGCTGGTTACTCTTAAAAGTGTGCAAAGAATTCGCCACAAAATTGTTAAATTATTAAGCAATTTTAAAAGTTTGGTCTATCATTTTATAGTTTCCTTTAATCTCAAATATATTTTTATCGCCCTCTTCTTCTCGCTCTCTTTGTAGACTATATGCAATCGCTGTGCAAGAATCACTTTCTACAGCAGCTTTATCGAAAAATTGATGGCGCCGTCCTGTGGTCCCAGAACGAACGCAACCTGGACTGTGTCATCACCTTTCAGACGCACTCGATTCTGCAGCGCTTCATGCTGCGCTTCGACATGCTCCAGCTGGACTGCAATGATCATCTGCTCGTCTATGATGGAGCCCATGCCGTATCGACGCCCAAGGTGAGCAAATGCAGTGTTACTCTCAGCCAAAAGACAACTGAATAAGTCCTTTAAATAACATAGTCTGGACTACACACGCTACTTTTAAGTTATACCAGATATTCTCATAACACAACGTGCCAAAGATATAGGTATTTGTCTTAGTTGTCTTTATATTACTATATATTTATATGGCCCTATTCGATTATTTTCAATAGCCAAAGTTAAGGCCAATCAATCCCAAGTTGAAGTCGGGGCGGGCAAAGACATTGACAAAAACAAAAGCAAAGCCATTGCAATTTGTGTCGCAGCCTCATGATCCACATGCACAAACGGAGCACGTTGATGCCTCTGACGTTTTAGGTTCAATCCCTGCGGGGTTTCCGCAGTGCCACACACACACACACACACACACACACACGCACTGCAAATGTGGGCATAATTTTTAGTCGCTGCGACATTTGCAATGACGACAACGGGTAAGAATGTCGGTCGATCAGTCTGTCGCCCGCTGGGTGGTAGTCGGTGGGTGGTGTAGGGTGGTGGCTGTTAGGACGAGGTCGAAGGGGTTGCACCATTGCGGTTGCAGCAATGCGACGCCAACTGGCAGCTGCCAACTGCCGGCTGAGTGTGCTGATAGCGCGCTCTGATTTTATCAGCAACAATTTTCAGTTTTCATTTTTCATACGCCCCGTTGCCTGCGCTGCACATATTATATATTATTTTGTTGCGCTGGCTGTGTGCTTGTGGGCGTGGCAGTGTCTCTATGTGCGTCCAAATGTAAGCCAAGGCAAGTGGCAGCACATAAGCATAAGCTAAATTCTTAAAATCCCAGCGAAGCCACACAAAAATGCAGCTGCCAAACAGGACACAAAAGAATTCTCACGTCGCCTTAAATGGACTACAATATGCCCTGTAACTGGAACTAAGATAAGCTCTTTCAAGTACAGGGTATCTGCCCTGCAGGCCACTTCTTTCACCTAAATGTATATTCCCACCTCCACCTGAAATGCTTCAACATAATTGCTGTGTCGGCCTGAATGCTCCATAAAAAGTTAACGAGTCAAAGTTTATGACAAAATCGATGGCAGTTTGAGCTTCTAATTACGAAAAGTCAAGTCCAAGGCGAACAGTTAAGACAAAGTGCCAATCAATGTAGCTGCTGATACCTGGGCACAGGTTGTTTGCCGGCCGAGGGGTTCGTGTTATGAACACTTATTTTATACACAAGTGCCGCGGGGTACTCTCTTATATATGTAATAATTATATGTTTACAGTAAAACTTGGTCTAACTTGTATTATATATATATAATAGCTACAAATTATCAACGTTACTTATCCATTCATTGTCCGATCGAAAGAAATTAAAATATACTCCTCCTTAATATATATATACCACGTCTCCACCCAGAAGTCCCAACGAACTTTTCTATTGAAACCGAACGGGAGGTTAAAAACGTTATAAAGCTGTTTTCCACCTATTTTTCACAATTGTGTGTGAATTAGTCAAAACCCCCGTTGACCATGCGACGAACGGCGTGGAATTGGCATAGTCTCTATAGTTGGATTTCTATAACATATGGGAATTATATCTGACTCAGATATTGGTTCAGATCGATAATATATATTTTTTAACCGATTAAACATACCAAAACACAAAACGAACTTTGATAATACTTAATAGAAAAGGGCTGCAAAGCTAAAGGGATTTAAAAATTTAATAAAGTCGTCTTCCACCTATTTTTCACAATAGCGGGTGAAATTTTCAAAGTGTTATGGCATTGACAACAATAATGTCCTTAACTCAATTCATTTAGTCTCTATAGCTGGATTTCTAAAACATATAGGAATTACATATATATTTAGTGTATATATACTAAATATTTAATAAAATATTCTAGAAGCCAAAACAAACAAAGAACTTTGATAATACTTAATAGAAAAGGGCTTCTAAGCTAAAAGCCGATTATTTTCTTCTAGTATTGGGATTTCTCGACATCTTGCAGCGCTTTTTGTTGTTCGTTGTTCGTTTTGTATGCTTTGTTTTTTGTCGAGTCATAACTTAAGAGCCCTTTCCTAAATATTTGCCAAGTGGCTTGTTTTGCAACGGACTTACAACTGCTGCGAGCCCAGTAGCCCAACCTGGCTCTGCTATTTTTGAAGTCTGAGTCGGTTGCCTGTGGCCTAAGAAGCTTTGCGCATCTTCGCATCTTTTTGCCTGCCTCCACCCAAGATATCTTTGTACTGGCAGATTTATGAATTTCCCAGCGACTTGGACTCATTTGCATGCCAACCAGCCGAAAGTAAGCCAAACCGAACCCCGAACCGAAGCCCCAAAAACCAATAACATTTGAGAGTTGAGAGTCGAGTGTCGAGTGTCGAGTGTCTCGGCATGTAAATACTTTCGGCCAAAAGCAGTTGTCAGTTGCCTTCAAAATGCAAAATTAAAATTTCGCCACACTCTCCCCTGGTGTGAGTTTCTCTCAGTGTGTGCGAGGCGCATTCAAAGCAAAGGGGTGAGCGGGTGTGCAGCCGGCCAAGAAGGACGCACAAAATGTAGTGGAAAGTTTGCGTTTTTGGGGCTGCTACAAAATTAAAGTATGCCACAAAATGCCGCACGTCGAAGATGCCGAACACAACTGCAGCTGCAGTTACTGCCACACAGCCACACAGCCCAGGATCTCTGTAGTTGCTGCGCCCAAAAACCCAGGACGTTGTGTCAAGAAAAGCAACCGCAGCAAAGGCTTCAACGATGACGCACACACACTGTCGGTGGGTGTGTGTGTGTGTGTGTGTGTGTGTGTGTGCGACGTGGACTTTGATGAACCCCGTTGCAACTTTTAGGTTGCACAGCAACATTACAAATGCACACAGAGCGAACGATGCGCTGCGTGGCACGTGGCACGTGGCATAGAAGTCTCGTCCCCCCATCATCCATCCTCATCGTTGTGCACTTTGCAGCATCGGTGTTGATGATGAGCAAGGGCGTTGCCAGTGTGTTGTTGGCCAACTTTATGCTAACCAGCTACTGTGGCAAATTTCCAACATTTTTCACCTAAAATACATGACAAAATCGAAGGCAACATCTATCTCTATATATAAAACTGTTTGTCCTGACTGACTGACTGACTGACTGACTGACTGATTGGTGATCAACGCACAGCCCAAACCGTAAGAGCTAGGAAGCTGGAATTTTCACTGTAGATACCTTATGTGATGTAGGTGCACGTTAAGACGGGGTTTCGGAATATTCCACCCGCAAGTGTGGAAAAATCGCGAAAAACGTTTGTATGTAACTTTTTTGTTTACGATCCGATCGGCCCCAAACTTATTTTCAAACATCTTTGTTCAAATTCATTTGAGGGGTGTTTCGCACTTTTCGGAAAACCCATTCCTCCTTGGTGGAAATGGAGGTCAAAGATTTGGTGGGTGACGTTTCGCGCTCAAATTCATTTCCAGAGATCTATATGAAAAATCATTTGAGACGTGTTTCTCACTTTTCGCAGAATTCAAACTTCTTCGGGGGGAATGCGATTTAAAGATTTTTTGGGCGAAGTTTTAAGTTGTGTCCGATTTGCTTCAAACTTATTTTCAAAGCTCTCAATAAGAACTTAATGAATACGTATTTCGACGCTTTGGAAAATTCCACCCGCAACAGTGGTAAATTGGCGGAAAACGGTTGTATGAAAGTTTTTTGTTTACCATCCGATCGGCCCCAAACTCATTTTCAAAGATCTATATTCAAATTCATTTGAGGGGTGTTTGACACTTTTTGAAAAATCCATCCCTCCTTGGTGCAAATGGGGCTCGAAGATTTGGTGGATGACGTTTTGTGTTCAAATTTATTTCCAAAGATCTATAAGAAAAATCATTAGAGACGTGTTTCACATTTCTCGCAAAATCTAAACTCCTTCGGTGGAAAATGCATTTCAAAGTTTTTTTTTGGTGATTTTTAAGTTTGTTTGATTCCCGTCCGATCAGTTTCAAAATCATTTTCAAAGCTTTTTGAAAACTTTGATTTTATAACATACATGCCACAGGCAAGGCCGGGTTATACCCGCTAGTCAGAAATAATACTCTATTAAGTTGCAAGAAGAGTTGTGTTTAAAAACAAATATGTATAGCTAGAAATTGGGAACAATAATAATAATCATAATCATATTACACATAAAAATAACGTGAGTAATAATATAAAAATAACAATTATAACAATAATACAAAAGATAATAATAATAAAAAAACAATAAATTATGAAATTAATTAGAAAAATAATATAATTATTAACATTAATAATTATCATAACACAAATAATAATATTATTATTTATAATAATACTACTAACGATAAAACGAATAGTTATGTATAAACAATAAAAACAATATTAATTGTCAATAATAATAAAACTATTGCATAAAAATAAAAAATTAAAAAAAGAATGATACAATTGAAAAAATATATGTATATATAAATTATTAATAAAATAAATAATAATGAAATATAATAATATTTTATATAAAAATAATACATAATAGTAATAGTAGTTATAAATAAAAATAATTAATAATAAAACAAAAAAATAAAAAGGGGAAAATAAAATAATAAAAAATAAAAACCAATAATAATAATAAAATATAATAATAAATCAAAATAACAAATAAAGAAATTAATAATAGTAATAGTTTTGTTGAACACTCATATAAGTGATATTCTTAGTATCAAATACATAGTGACAAAAATGTAATATCGTAGCTCTTTAAAAACAAATTTTTTAATTTGCCATTTATAAGAATATCTAAATTCATAATTATTTAAAATATAAATATTTTATATATATTTATTAAAAATACTTAACTTATCACGAAAGTTGAGCATTTTATGAGTAAAACTTTTATATTTAGCTCTTGAAGCAGTTGCTTTTCAATACTCAAATTTATAAATAATCGAAATTGTAGATTTAGCTTAGATGAAAATATATATGCTACCCTTTCTATATAACTTGATGCAGTGTACTCCTCCTTTGTCCTCCTTTGCCGTGTCTAAATGTTCGTCTCGGTTCCTAGACTTTCAAAATTGTATTAAAAATAAATCGATTTTAAGTTTACAAACGCCCTATGTACGGAAAGTATTTCAACCGTAGATATTTTCCCATACAAAAGCGGGGAAAAGTTGATCTCTTCCTAAAATTGGAATATACCAAATCTGATTAGATAAATCCAAGAGTTGGGACCAATGTTTCTCATTTTCAACCAAATAACTTCTAAGAAAAATGCTTTGATTCGGCGCAAGGCTAGGTTCAAGTGAATCAAAAATAAATTGGAATTCCGGGTTAAAAGCTATTCGATTCGAAACCGGCTATTGATATCTCTATCAAAGATTACGCAATAATGTAACTGGACTCTTCCATACATCCTTGAGCAGCTACTCCCAGTCAGGAGTCAACTGTTGCACAGGCGGAGGCTTCCAGGATGGGGACAAGGGCAGCAGTGGGTTAGGCCCTTGCCTGAGAGCCTGATACCTGATGTCAGCCCAAGGGACTTTGGGTCAGTCTCCAAGGCAATGATGGAACGTTACGCGCCAGATTAGCCTTCTCTCTTCCGTGATGCCGTCAACTAGTCGCCCACATTGCGGCACCTGAATTCCTTAAGCTGAGCAGTTATCTAAAGCCAATTAAACGTGCCCAATATATTAGTGAATCTATGCGGAGGACGAGGGACAAAGGGCGGGAGTCTAGCAATAGAATTGCTCTGAGATTGAGCTTGAGCTTTTAAGCTCTGAAATGCGACTGCCCGACCTTAATGTACCATGGCAATAATATTAGGAATAATTTCTCTCGTAATCTCGTAGAGGGTAAACAGAGTTTATTTTTATCAAAGCGTAAAAATTAAATAATTAAAATTAAATTGACCTTTAACAACTTAAGCCAAAGGTATTTAGAATATAACTTTACAATATATTACAAAATATTGAAACTCATATGCAAATTATGTCCAAGAAATATGCTCATGGGGTATCTCTTTAAAAGAAGAGCAAGTTGGGAGAATATAAATTATGACCAAGGCTGCAAATGTGCATTGAAATCCGAGGTGAATAGATGTGGATAAACGAGGTTAATGAACCGAACCTTAAGACGATTTGGTTTGAGCCTTGGCCCTTTAACTGTAGTGCATCTCTTCGTCTAAGAGCCCGTACAATTTTAATTAGAATTACAAAAAAATATGAATTTCGTGTACAGATTGACATCTCCTGCCGCAACACGAAGAACACGGTGAATGCGATATTGACAAGGACGAACTTCGTAACGCTGAAGTACGTGACCGATGGCTGGGGAACAGATGCGAATGGTTTCAAGTTGGTGATCACATCCGTGAAGGATCCCAGTAAGTGGACGAGGGAATGCGAGAGTGGGCCTGATTAATTGTTACAATATGTGCTCCTTCATTTTGCAGAGCACACGTGCAAGGACTTCACGTGCGCCACACGCGAATTCTGCATTAATCCCGATCTGCTGTGCGACGGCGTCAACCACTGTGGCGACAACTCCGATGAGTCCGTGCAGAATCTATGCCAGAGTAAGTGGAAAGTAAGTCGAAAGACTCTTCTAATTGCCAATTCTATTCCAGACGAGACGACGAGCACTGTGTTCGGCGTGGACATGACCTGGTTTGTGCTGATTGTGGTCGGAGTTTTGCTGGTGCTCAGCGCCCTCATTGTGGCCATCGCGATCTGCGTGTGCCGGCGCCAGGACGAGAATGCCGCCAACCAGAACACCGCGCTGCAGCGTAAGTATAGCTCGCACAGCCTCCAACATTATCTGTTATAATAACCGATCCGTTTGCAGTGCATCACAATGCGGAGACGAACGGCTCGTCCAAGCATCTGCATTACCATGGCGTCGGCATGGGCATGGGCGTCGGCATGGGCATGGGCATGGGCATGAGCGTTGGCGGCACGCTGACCAGAGAGCACACACAATTGCCGCCGGTGTCGGGAAACTGGCATCACCCTGCGGGACCATCCGGGTACCACCGCATTCCACACAACTACTTGAAGATGGCCACCAAAGTCCGTCCCATTTGGTGCTTGGCAAATTCCGTCAATTAGGTCAAGATCTTTCACAAAACTCAACCGGGCACAGCCAGACGAACATCGCCGTTGCTGGCAATCATCCGAATGCCAATGCCGCTGTCGGCGCTGCTCAAAAAGATGAGTGGTTCGTTTAAGTACTGAACTGGTTCCGGTTCAGTGATTCACATGTGAAAGATATAGAAATGAAGAAAACAAAACCAACTAAATAATTGACTTTGAGCACAATAATCTGCACTTAAATAAGTGATTTCATGGATATTTGCAGAGCATTAAATGAAGTACGTAGCAAATAACGATTCCCAAATATTCTTTATACACCCAGAAATGATCACGTTGTCCGTCTGTAAATCTAGTTCAACAACCTCTCGATTCCAACCTTAACTTGTTGCGAATTATAAGCAAACCAGAGCTAATTTTCTGTTTAACTCTTTTTATGCCCTGAGCCCATTCAAAATGGGTAACAGACGGAAGGAAGCATCCTTGACCACATAAGGTATACACATATATATTCCTGAGCAGCATCAATAGCCAAGTTGATCAGGTCAAGTCTATCTGTCCGTCCATCCGTATGTGTCCGTATGTGTGAAGCGTCGATCTCAGTTCCTCCTAGTGCCCGCGCAGTGAGAGTTTCTTTTCAATAATCGATAGCTTGCAATCGATACAAATCGATATCAAAATCCGAATATTGTGCAAATCTTTTGGGTCTTCAGAGCAGCTAAAGCAACCAAGTTTGACACGTAGCTTCTCTATAAGTATACACAGATCAAGTATATTTAATTTTAGAGCTATTGCCAAATTTGTTTTCATTAATGCAACCATATATATCCCTTTGGGAGAAGAAGGTTCATGGTATCCACAAGTCGGGCATTCCCCTCTTGAGAGATCTTTCTTGTTTTGCTATAGTTTAGTTGTCGGAATCGTATTCGATTTAATTGTTTTCATTCTTCTTGCAGGACTGTTTGACTAATATTTAACAACAAGGAATGTGGACATCACCGCGCAGGGTGTATATTTAAGAGATCTCTACTCGTACCCAGGCAGAATCTCGCTAGCATTGGGCAAACGTTGTGCCGCAAGAAGCACAATTTTGTCGGATAACCAATGCAATTGTATATAGCTTATATATATGCATATATATATATATATATATATATGATTAAATATCATTTAATTTATAATTAACACGAATAGCTAAACCCGATACCAAGCGAGCAAACGGCATCAACAAATAGACATAACAAATATTTTAGATCCTAGATATACCGCAAACCGAATGTGTAGTCTAAAAGGACAAGATCCTTCCGCTGCACAACGAGTCCTTGGCAATTCCTTTATTACAGTGCTATGTAACATAACTTTCTCCATATTCCAATTGTTATTCGTTTATTCGTTTTTCTTTTTAAATCGCTTTCTTTTTGGTTCTTATGTTAATTCCAACCGAACCGTGAGTAAGCATCAGCAATGAAGAAACAATCGATGGCATTTAAAAGAATTTTTAAGACCGTTGAAAGTATTAAAGCTCAATATGAAAGCGCTAAACTATAATATAACAAGTAATAAGAACATAAACATATAACTTTCAATGCGAACTAATGATGATTTCGAATAAAGCAGATTGAGCTGCATTCGAAATACTTATAATAAATTGGACACAAGAACAACATGAACAAGGGATGTAAATAATTAGTAGACAATATTTAAACAAAAGCAAACAACTAAAAGCAAAACAAATCTTCAACAATTCGACTCTCACACTTCATTGTCATTCTCTGTATGGCTTGGCATAAAGCATATGCAAACATATACAACAGATCCCAATATTGTGCGCATCATCAACATTGACGGACTTCAGCATCCATTCCACAAAAACCAAAAACAAGGAACCACAAACATTGCTAAATGACAAATTTTTGAGACATTAAAGGACAATACAAAAAAAACACACACAATTTTGCTCTTTTTGATGAAACATTTAACTGAAGAAAAAGAAGAAAAAAAAGCGACACAAAGTACATTTTTGGGGTCAGATACACTGGAAAAAAAGAGTCCGCATACATTTTTCTACAATCAACCAAATGTAAAAAAAAAAGAAATATAATAAAAATAAACATTTTGCTACGAGTCGAACAAATACGATTGATATTAACTAAACTAAATAAACTGAATTAAATAAACGCAAACAATTAAAAGCAAAATACTAAATAAAATGCTTCGAAACGATTGTAGTACTTCCCGCCGTTAATATTTTTTAAAAGTACATATTAAAGTTGACTAATAACGAAAAACAATAATATTACAAATTACAAAAATAAAAATTAAAGAAAACACAGCCAGCTGCTTACGATTCGTCTTTCAGAATACTTCCATAGGACAGTTGAATTTATTTGGGTTGGAAAAGCGAGAGAGAACAAAAACAAATGTTTATTAACTCTTCCTCTTTGTTCTTTTAAATACAATAAACGTACCTACATACATACAGATAAAAGTAATAATAACCAACTTGTCTAGGCGTTTGTAAGAAAAAAAAAACAAATATATATAAAAGCTAGCTGCAATAAATAAATAATACACATATGTTCCAAAAAAAACCCTAGAAGATCTTATAGCCATATATGATATATGTATATGTATTGTACGAACATTTGTTTTCTCTCAAAGGGATCGATTTTGCCGCCTTTCTATAATTTCCAATTTTTCAATTACTGAAGAATTTTCATGCTAATTTATTTAGTTCCTTAAGTTTTCGAAAGCTTTATAGAATCGTTTGATAATTCTTCTAGTTTTCTATATTGACATTTTGGTGAATTAACATAAGTATAAAAGTAAAGAAAAAACAATTCATACGAATATTTATCGTAAATTATAGGCAGATGATATTATGATAACGTGAATTTTTAACCCAAAATTATAAAAGCAAATTGTATTAGGCGTCAAATTTTAGAAACGAACCGAGCAAAATAATTCAAACATAACTTAAAGAGCAACAAATACTAAAAATAACAACAAATTAATCGAAATTATTTAATACGAATATTAAAAAAAAAAAAAAAAAACATGCTAAAATTAATCGTAAAATTGTTTTATATGCAGAAAATAATTGACGCAATACAGGAATATTAAAAATTGAAAAAAAATACTTAAAACGAAATTATGCTGGTTGGGGCAAAAATGGGTTGAGATATCCGTAACGATTGTGTCCGTATATGAATGTAGCTAAAATATACAACAAATACAATTTAATCCAATTAGCGAAAATTGTGCGAAACGCGAAAATCTTTCCCTGAGAAATCATAAATACTTTCCACAGAATTAGTTATGATTGGAGGAGCAGTTGAAGAAAACTGAAAGATGATCGCCACTGAGTACCATAATTATCCCAAAATGTTTGGGAATATTTCATTTTCAATTTGTAAATGTTCATATGTGTTGAATATATTTTCGAAGCTCTCTTTATCACTTTCTCTCTCTCTCTCTCTGTCTGTCACTCTCTATTGAAAAGACTTTGCCGCAAATAGTTAAACTTTACGTCTGTTTGTATGTATATGTATGTATGTACTTAGGTATTAAAACTCTATAATAAAACGCTCCCAATAAGTACTAATTGTCATCTTGTATAACTATCAACAATATAGTACGACCGTTTTGACAGTTAAGCAATTCAATTCAATTATCTTACACCAATCAAATGTTTATTATTATTTGAATATTCATACCATAAATTGTAAACATCTATACTAAGTACTCATCCATCATGTGCATCATATCAAAAACAAAAACAAAACGTATAACATTAGGTTCATTTTATATGAAGAATGTTCCGAGAGAGATATGCCGAACTAAGCGACCCGACAGAGCAAACTAAATAGGGTATAAACCAGTAGTACTCACGTATATGGAGGCCATGCATATAAATTTGTAGTGCAAATGTTAGACGAAATTTAGCTGTAGTCGTAGGAGTGTGTGTGTGCATATGGGTTTTATACCGAATGTAACATTGGTGGAAAAGTTCTCATTTAAGTATGGTTTTTATTTAACAGCCGTGCAACGCCGGCTATCTCTAAAATCATCATCAGACTAGCGCCATATAAAGTCATGTGTACTTAGTTGAAATCGAACCACAATTTGTAGCTTCATTTTTTATAAGCGAATGAAATGCATTAACAAATAAATTCAATTCAAATATTACAAATAAAAAAACAAAACGATTGCATTAAGTAAATGCTTAGCTTTGTGTTAAATTGCTGTTGAATGTAAATGTACAATGGATATTAAATATGATGACATTGAATTACATAAAAAATAAAAGTAAAAAACAAATCTAAGAAGGAAAACCAACAATAGAAACGCAAATTAAAAATAAAACTAAAAAGATACTGAAAAATAAACAATACAACAAATTTGATTTAAATGTTTTATTTGAAACTCCAAATGTTGCCATTTATGTGGAACCCAGGCACCATCAGATTATATATTCCAAAATTCTAATTAGGCTTTAGTATGGATAGTATATGAATTATGATTAGTCTTTGAATTCCTGGATACTTTCTTCAATTTTTGGCGAAGATTTGTGTGTCTCAGTTAAGATCTTATTGTCAGCTTTGTCAGTTTGGCATTCCTGAGCAGATTTTTCCCTGTTCTGCAACTGCAGACGCTTGCAACGCCTTTGGGCCAGTCCGCCCAGCATCGAGACCACAAAGTAGGCAACAATGACCAGTGCCAGGAGCTGAAAGAGGTGTGCCACCAGGCTGAGGCCAGTGAACGGATCATCGGAGTTCGCTTTGCGGTGCATACGCTGCTTGGTGGAATTCAAGAGGCTTTGGATGGGGGCCTCGATTTTGGCACCAATCAATGGCACTTGGCCAATTGCATCAATCAGAACGCTGACCAAATCCTCACTGAAGGCCACAATGACGATCAGCTGCTGTATATTCGACTTAAAAATGGCCTTGCCGATGAGCGTGGCCACAAAGAACTTCCAAAATGGCACCAGAAAATGGCCACAGGCCACGCCAGCCAGATCAAACAACGGATTTGGCACGCTGGCACACAAGAGGATGCCAAAGAAACCGATGCGCAAGACGACGCGCTCCACAAGAAGTTTGCTTTTATCAAATAGATTCAGATTGCCGGCAGATCCCTGCCGTTCATCCAGGTTCTTGCCAGAGAGACGTGATGCCCTGGCCATAAAATAGGGTGGCAGCTCACCCAGGGCGGTGCCCACGCCCCACAGCATCGTTTCGGTTCGCACCTTAGACAATATTTCCCATGTGTTTGGCAATTTATGGATGAATGGCTCCTTTGGGCAAATCTTTTGCTCCGGATAGGGCGGCGCTGGAAAGTCCAATGTCTGGCATTCATAGGCAGCCAATGTAACGCCGGCAATGTGCGGTCCCAAATATAGCAGAAATGTGTGCAGTCCAGTTCCAAAGCCCACCGAGGACAGCAGACCCAGACCCAACCAGTAGACGGTGAAGCCCATATTTTTTCGGCACAGCTGCATATAGGATGCATGAGGTCCCGGCATCTTATAGACAATTGTTAAGATCATCAGGCTGGCCAAAAACCGTCGATCCAGCAGTCGCACTCCAAGACTACGCAGCATTACAAGCACCTCCAATATGCTATATTTTAAGGTCTTCAATGGCCGCCGCCATAGAACCAGAGATTTACGCTCCAAGCGTTCCGCTTCACATACTGCATCAATGGCAAGGGAAGTAGCTGTACAAGCTTCAGCATTGGAAGACATCCTATTTCTCATCTCACTGAAAGCAGGAAAACAAATTGTTTGATAATATTATAATTTCTTACTGACGACTGGTTGAGCATGTCTTGAAGTATATGACGCGGACACCTAATCAGATCATTTCAACATCATTTATAAACAGTAAAAGCTATTTTTCTATGCTTGCTGACCATTTCTGTTCGCCCTGCAATTCAACTGACACTAATATCCAAATCTCGCGAACTTTATATTAAAAATAGACAATATTCACGGGTACAAAAATGTAGAATAATATACATATATGATTATTGAAAGTCTTCTTATCTATTAAGTTTAGTGTTTAATTGTCGTTAGTCGGTTCTAGCTGCTGTAGCGAGAAATCCTTTTCGTTTGCATTATCTTTTAAATAAGTGAATGCTTCTGCCTGCCACATCGTCATGGGACCCGGCGGCTGAGGTTTCAATCCGGTCCGTAGCTCACCATCAGCTACGGCCTTGGCGTGCTCATCTTCGCAACGGTATTTGTATGCGCTAATCTGCTTTATAAACTTGTCCACTTCCTGGGTATCGACATCAGCGAAAGCATTCCCCTTTAGGCTGCTAAGCAGTCGAGCGCTGTGCGGAAATACAATTTAATTATAGATAATAGAGAAATGTACAGGGCACATGCATACATAATAATAAAATGGGGTTCTTCGAGTCGCAGCGTATTCACCAGCGACTGCAAATGACGCAGTGGCAAAAGATGATTACGTGGCTTTGTGGCGGCTGGTTCTGTGCGCCGCACGGACAACCTATTCACCAATAACTGCAGAGATGCGTTAAATACGTGTAATTTCAGCAACCACGCGTCCTTCGGACTAGCATGTGCATCCACAAGCCGCATATGGGCAGCCACTGCAGCTGTCACGCGCTGCTTATTGGGTCGCTCATTGCAAACGTGCAGCTGAATGACAGACAGGTTACGAGCGTAAGTGACAATATGTCGTTTAATAAGCACAACTATTAGCTGCTCCAACTCCGGGCTTATATAATCCGGCGTTATTGTTAGCTGCAGAAGAGGAAGTTTTGTTACTTTGACAATGCTTTGTCTCAGCGGTTATTTTGTCTTACTAATTTGTACTGTAGCAGCGGTTTCCATATGCGATTGGTAGGCAAGACAATTAGCTCACATTCATGTAACTGACGAAAGCATAAGTGCATTTCCTGAACGTATCCTAAAGTCAGTGGTTTTTCGCGTGCCTTCATAGCAAGCGTTGAATCGGAGAGTTGTGTCAACAACGTATCATAGGTGAGCGCGTTCAACGACAGGCTATGCTGCAGTCCAACTTGCAGCACGACAATGGCACAAAACAGGGATTTGGCCAGTGCCAGATTGTCTAAAATGTTGCATAGTTTGCGTACGCACACATCTCGCAACATCTCAGCCAGCTGCATGGACCTCGTTTCGTGCTCGCGCATATCTTCCAGCTCTTCACGTTCCCGATGCAACAATACTAGCATTAAGGCCAAGCACTCGTAGCCGTAAAGACCTGCACGGATATTTGAGGAAGATAAGAGCATGATAGAATATATAGATTAGATTGACCTACCCAAGTGCTCGTTGGCGACAACTATATGCAGCATTTGCATAGCTAGTGTTTGGTACATATCGCACACCTGGTGGCCGCGCAGCTTGTTCTGTTTGAGCAGAGCATAAAGACATCGTACGCATTGACCATAGTCCTGCAACATTTCGGGCTGAATTTCCGCCTGCTCGTGGCCCATGAAGTTCACAGATATCTCAGCATATCGGTCTTGCAAAGCTAACGCCGCAGTTACCAGTAGATGCTCATTCCCTGTCGCCTCTATCGAACGGCAGATGTTCGGGAAGAGTATTGAGTATTCGGACTCGCTAAGCGTCTCATCGTCCAGGAAGATATTCAAGCAGTGTCTCTCCAAAGCACAAATCAGCTGCCAAAAAAAAAAATTAATTAATTTCATTTCAAGATTGTGATTAAATTAACGACAAACTCACGTTGGGCTTGTGCTGTGCCACAGCTTCAAAATCCACTGCACTGTAGATTCCATAGATCACAGAGCGAATTTTTGGCCGCTCGGCAGAGCTCTGAACAAGATTTGGCCACTGACGCAGCAGCTTGTGCACCTGCTGGCGGGCTATCTCCAATTCAGCATAATGCACTGTGTAAAGCTCAAACAGCGCACATGCAGCATGAGCAGTAAATAGGATAAGCTCTTCGCGCACATCTACCGCATTAATCACATTTATGTAGAACTTGAAGTGCTGCATAGCCGGAAAGTGATCTATCAGCTTCTTGAGATAGCTCTGCAGAACAGACATGAACTGCTCATAACTGCGCCACTTTCGTACGCTACTCTGCGTCTTTATAAACGTTTCCATGATGTGCACAAAGAGCTCCTGTTCCTGATACTGGCGTTGGGATAATGTTACATATAGCTCTGCGGCCAAAGAGCAAACCGAATTCGAAGCATTTGAAACGTCAAGCAATATCAACAAGATTTGCTCCAGAAAGCGACGTGGAAAGATTTCTGTGCTGACCAGGTGACTAAACATAAAGGCAATTACTATGTGGGCAATTAACCAGTAGAAATTAATCAAACTTGCCGCTGCAGCGTCTGCAAATATTGGAGCGTTGCGCGCAGTAAAGGATTCGAGTTTTTCACTTTGAGCATCTCAAATTGAATTCCCAGGTATTTTTCAGTGATCAGCTCATTGGTGAACAGACGCAAATACAGGTTACCCGATGCATCGCGCTGCTGTCCAACCTCAAATCTATCCAACATCATTTCCAGAAACTGGTATGTCTGAATATAGCTGTCCTTATTGCTCATCTGAGGAAAGACATACAGATGGCATCATATATTTGCACAATTATTGAGAACATTCATCACAGGCTTTTGTAATTTACGAAGCACGTTCCTTTACCTCGCATCTAAAAATCCAATAGATGAAGTTCAGAGCAGATTTTGTTTCCCCACAAAATAGCTGAAAGTGCTCCTCAAACATGTCCAGCATGGGCGTAAGTATAAACTGACAAGTCTCTTCGTAGCTGTTAAAAACATATACATATATATATATTAAGTAGAAGAGATCTGATCGTGAGCCGTTGAGCTTACAATATGCCATAGCGTGCGAGCACGGCAAGGCTAAGGCAATTATCTTTGAGCAGCTCAAACTTTTGGCCATAGTCGGGCAGCAGCTTGGCCAGGCCTCGAAGCAAGCTGAAGGACATTCTTGCCAGGGGCTCGCATAGAAAACGGTCGATTTCCTTGTCTTTCAGTTGTAATTTATCTGTTATACCAAGCACCACCATTGTCCAGACGCGCACCACTCGCAAGTAGCAGAGCACGGGATTTACTAAATCATAGAATTCGCTGCCTAAGCACGAGCTTGGTCTATCCTGGGAAGCTAGGCGCTCACACGCTGCCAACGACGTCGGCAGCTGATCCAAAAACGCGTCGACGTTCTTCAGTACGAACGGCACAACGTTGAATATGTAATTTAGATTGTCTTCGCGATACGGATGATTATACGTTTGCTGGAATGCCTCGACGCTGATGTTGAACTTCAGGCCCAGCACTCTGAAGCATTGCCCGACAAAGCCATACGAAACTCTGCCCAACCAATTGCTTGGATTGGCGGCTACAGCTTGCATAAAGCTGCACATGTACTCCGTTGTCACATACTGAAACGCATTGGAATTATTTACTTGTTCAGGTCTAAGGTATTCACCTACATCAACGGAAGCGCCCGTCGATAGCGCAGTCAGGAAATCCATCAGAAATGTAATACGTGATAGAAAACACTTTAACAAGGTAAGCGGATTCGCCAACAAAATCCGTTAGTTTGACTAAGGACGGCAATATGTCGATAAGCTATTATAATCGAAAGATTGCGATAATTGATAACGTATTTGAATCTATCGCAAAATAATCGAATAATTGTGGCGATCTGGCGTCACAGAAATTCATATGTTGAATCGAAAGATTGATCGATAATTGATAACATATTTGTATCTATCGCAATATAAACGAATAATTGCAGGCATATGCATATGCTACATATGTGACGATTGGAAGGATTGCGATAATTGGTAACGTATTTGAATCTATCGCAATATAAACGAATAATTGCAGGCATATACATATGCTACATATGTGGCGATCTGGCGTCACAGAAATTCATACATTTAAGTTTTTCGTGTTTTGTAGTATGTTGTATGCCAAATGAGCATATGACCACAGTATTGTAGAGTATACAATATAACAAGTGGTCATATGCCCAACTTAAAAGTAAGAGTAACAACTCATAACATAACGACACTTTGTTGCTATGTTTATACAAACATAAATATACATAAGTGCAGTAATAGGATCCGTTACTTATGCGGACTGGCCGCAGCGTGAGATCGCTAGCGTAAGCACTTCTTGAGTATGTACCATCTGTACATATACATATATGTATATATACATAACTACATAGGCACATATGTACTGCAACTCTCTCTCTCTCTGCCGACGTTCTTAGCGGCAGAGCTCCCTCAGAATATTCCATATAATAAGCCTAAGATATAAACTGAATAAAGGAGAGCAATCACTCTCAACGAAACCTCAAACGAAACAAGACGTGTGTTTCTTATGCTTTACTATAACATGGCGACCGTGACAAGTGTCACGAACATGTTGAAATAAAAACAATATGCAACTAAAACAACAACACTAGCAACAGCAGTCAGAGCAACAACAACAACATAAAAGCCGAGACTTAAACAACTATAACTATTGAAGAGGACGAAGGAGGCAACAACAACAAGCAAAGGCGGAACAAAAATTACCAAAAAAAAGCTGAGTGAGTAGAGTGTAGTGAGTGTTATGGGTCGCGGTGGCCGGGTTAAAAAATTGAATAAAGAAATTGCTCACATTAAGTGGCAATTATATTCACCCAAGGCCAACACACCGTGGAAGGCAACAGCAAGGCTACAGGCCATGCTTGACTTTTATCAGCAACAGCTGGAACAGATAAAAGAAAACCCTACACCACATACTCACTCAGTGAATATCAAAAATATTAAAGTTGTTAATGACAAAACTATAACCACACCACCTCCCAAAAGCAAAATGCCTCAGTACGTCAAGCAATGCCCAGCAGATTGCCCTGGACCTCTGGACAGCCCACACTGCAGATCGACTTGCCTGGTAAGGCAGTAACCTGTGCGAAGACCGGCACCGGTTCCGCCTGAGCCCATAGGCCCAGGACAACAGCAGCTGAGAAATCAACAAGCGCGAGAGGCACCCCCGCCCCTTGCGCCTTCGAAGGGAGCGTCAGCGCAACCATACTGGTGATGACCAGCTGACGCGGAAGAACAGGAACAGCAGACACCAGCAATAATTTTAAAATATATATACTATATATTATATTATCGAAACAATTTATGGAAAATTGAGCAGAAAATCTTTTGCCCAATCAGAAGTGAGGCCCATAAAGCCAAACTAAAAAATTAGGCAGGTTGCTATGTAAAAAAAAAAATTTTTACACGTCTCAGGCACTGGGTAAATTACCCAGTAGCAAAAAAATTAATCCAAATCTTAAATTCCAAATAAATTTGAAATTTTAAAATGAAAAAAAAAAATAATAAGTTTTCAGTTCAGTCAGTTTAATCAGAAATCAAAAAAAAAAACAAATTGAATCAAATTAAAGCCAGGAGAAAAAAAGCCAGGCAGGAAAAATGTTCTATTTATGAATAGTAATGCAATAAGTAAGTTTTCCGAAGATTTTCTAATTGAATCAAATCATAATTCTGAACAGAACTCCAAAATGGGATTATTAGACGTTAAGTCAGTGGATTCCACTGCTAACGTTATAAATAAAGTTGAATCAAACAACACAGATTTAGAATTAACAAATATATTAATTTGGTAATCATAGTTGTTATAATGTGTGCAAATTGTTTTTATAAAATATATAAACTGCATAACAAATGCCTAAAGAAAAGATTCATGAGCCGAGCAAATGACTTGGACAAAATTTAAATTTGCACAGCACAAACAACAATGATTAATCATAATTGACAATATCATAATAACTATAAGATACCAATTAAACTAAATAAATAAAAAATAAATAATAATGAACACACAGTATGATGAATAGTAAGAATATCCCAGAATAACCTTGAAAAACAGAGTAGCTTGTCAATATTATGGAATGGCCAGAACTTTCTGAGCGGATCCAAAATATTAAAACGACATTTGAAAAAGCGTATAAATGTCTAACACAAAATAGACAAACGCATATAGATACAGTTAATGGGCACTCCATAACATTGATCGACAGCTTTAACGAAGCTCGATTATTGATATATCAACATAAAGATGTATTAACCAATGAACATTGGTCAGAAACGTCAAGGTTGCTAATAGGACTGAGAAATAATATACAAACAGTTAAAGACAAGCATAATTTAAATTTAATACTACCTTCTATTTTGAATACACCTGCAAAGTTGGAACTCGGTGAAAACCTTGAAGCTCGGACTGAGGATATTCAATTAGAAGAAGAAGATTTAACAAATCTAACAATCCCTGCTGTTACAACACTGGATTCCAAAGATATTTTACCCGAAAGTGAAGAAAGAAATAGCCGTATAATGGTTGACACAGCCGCTGCCGAGAGGGCATATATTAGGGAAATTGCACAAGCAGACCCAGAATTTGACGGAAAGAAAATCCGTCTTGAAAAATTCTTAACGGCATTAAGACTTGTCAACTTAACAAAGGGAACTTATGAGGAAATTGCCATAGAGTTGATTAAATCAAAAATAACGGGCACAACCCTCAACAAAATAAAAAATGAAACCACAATAGATGGAATTATTGCAAAATTAAAAGCCGTAGTTGTCGGTGAAAAAATAATAGATAACATTTAAATTGATAATCAAATGTATTAAATATTTGTATGTTTAACATCATTATTAATATTAATTTGGATCAGCTTTCGCTTTCCGATCAATAATCTGAAGCATCGGTGTAACCATTTTATAGCTTAACCATAAATCGAACTGATCTTGCGGATTGTTTAATCGAGTTAATGGCTCCATTTCCACACAATTAGTGGGAATATTGTTTGCCTTGGGAATATCTTCTTTATTCGGAGACACGAATACCGTCCGTGGTATGCTAGTATATTTGATTCTTACTAAACGATGCAAAAGCTTGCGCAAGGACTCATGGCGTCGCCAGGGCTTAGTGAGAAATGCTTCATAGCAGCTCAGCAAATTAGCCAGGCAAATTAGACTATTTACTTCAGCTTGGGATTTGATAGCCTATAAAGAAAAACCAGATTAATTATAGTATGGAACATATCGGAGTCCTCTTCTGTGGTATACCTGAGTATCAGCAAATGCTAAGGCGCCCAATAAATTCATCAGCACTATCGAAATAAAGATAACAAACAATATGAAGAGCACACAACTGAAGAAATTCTTTTGATAATCCAAGTTGCTTTCGTCAAATTCACCCGTCGACATGACAATTGTCTTGAAGATGGCTTCAAAGACATTTTTCTCAGACAAATTATGGAAGTTCAGTATATAGAAAGATAGTCCAAAAGAAGCAATCAAGATTGAGTATGGTATGAAGCTCATTAAAAAGCTAATGGACACCTTTTTGAGCATCAGTACGTGCGTGGATAGAGAAAAGTATGGCAGGTAGCCTAGAAGTTTGGTTAGTCTGAGGCCTATCAAAAGAATTGTGAATGCTGCAAAAATACGGGTATTATATGTCGGAGGATTACTCTCCAGAATGTCGCTAAGGGCTAGCATCACGATGTGTGCAATATTCAAAATTCGGCCAGTCGACCAAAATACGATACTCAAAATTGAATTAATCAGCTCACATACCACAAAATATCCGATACCCATCCGAGAGAGTACACTAAAGATGGATACTATAGGACTATTACAAAAATGTAGCAATATGTTGGCTATTGCGAAAATATTAAATATTAAGGAAGCACAAAAATAGGAGTGAAATAGTACAGATATGCTCTGCCACATAATCGTAATATATGTCTTGATTAGCGGGTGATTAAGTAAATGCCGAAGCTTCCTTGATTCACCCATAGCGACAATACTCTCCACTTCATAGTGCTTCATATCCGATCTCATATCGGTTGGCAGCTTTAGATTAGTGTAGTCCAGAATTATCGCAAAATATTTATCGGCACGACTCATTTCGTTAACTTTTATGCACTCATCAAAATGATTCTCCAGTAGCTCCGGCCTAATGCCCTGTATGGCAATTTCCTTGAACTTGCTCTTCGCGCCCAGGTAGGCCCCATGCTGGAGCAGGTCCCTCACGGCAAACTCATTGTTATATAGTATAGCATAGTGGAGTGGTGTCCTGGCACTTGCATCCGCCTCATTGACGTTCACATGGCTGCTGTTCAGAATCAGCCTAAAGCACTCTACATAGTCGCAGCTGATATATTCCGATTTCTCACCCAGTCTCCCGATGAGCTGATGAAGGAGCTCCAGGTTTGGGGACAGCCTTAGCTTCTCATGCTGCAGCAGCTTTGCGAGACAATAAAAGTTGCCGTATGCTGTGGCAATCTCAACAAGTGTCCTCTCATATACTTTCGATTTCTCATTAATATCAATGTCTGTTTGTAGAAGGCAGTCGAACACTTCGTGGCTCCTGCATATGATGCATTCCTCAAGGAGCTCCAATTTATTACCCTGATAGCTGGACAACAATTGTTGGAACTGCTCGACGTTGTCATTGCGCAGTTTACGAAGAAGCTGCCCGTGGATATCATTATCATCCCTCCCACTCGCATCCCGTACTGCGGGTAGCACTAGATGGGGCATCTGCTCCTGCAGTTCCTGCCGCACTTCGCCATCGCAGTAGCTGTCAATGTCTATATCAACTACGTTGAGAAACAAACGAACCATTGCCTCCTTCTCTTGGTTCCCGATCTGTCTGTTCAGCAGAATACGGTGCAGCGGAGTCATGTCGTTATCATCTGGAATGTTGGGCGAGGCTCCGTATCGTAGAAGCTCTCTTATACATTCCATCGTCTGGCTGGCATTCTCCCTGCTTAGGTTTTTTGCCAAGGCATTAAGTGGCGTTAGATTATTGTATTTGTGATTCACCGGAACTCCCTGATGCTCCAGTAGAACCTTCACATGCTCACTGTCTGTGGAATCAACAGAATAGTTAATGGCTGCTTTCTGATTTTTCTGGTTAATCTAAAAGTCACATTTTAATGAGTTCTAGGTAAGAAAGTTTCCAAATCCTTCCCACTTACATAAAATACACTGCATCCTGACTGCAGACAGAGAATGATAAATTCTACACAACCAGCGGTAGACAGCGATTTCTCGTAGATGCTTATTCCGAAGACATCGTACTCATTGGGATTGGCGCCTAACCTTAAGGCCTCTTCGAACCTTCGCGAATCCCGCTGCTCTAAAGCCCTTCCCAGTTGCTGCTGCAAATCCATGACACAATATGCTTCGAGCAGTGCTTTTGAAATAACGCAGCCCATATAGTTTCCGATATAATAACTTATGCTTATTCGGATAAATATGAGTAATGCCCCTATCAGTAAAGAGATGAACTTTAGAGCCGGCTGCATCCGACTGCGCATTACTCTGTTCACAGGGATCCCAGCTCCAAGACAAAGGGGTAAATCAAATTGCATGGTTCCCCTAGTGAACGTAGGAGAAAAAGTAGTTTCCTTAGTGGCGGCAGACGGGCGGACGTTACACAAAACGAATATACTCAATTTTACTTTCCAAACTGAGTAAACCGCAGAAGCCCATAATCTATATATATATATTATATATAATTGTATATTACGCAGAGCAAGTCGGAATAATAATACATTTGGCTGGTCGTAAAAAAAGGGGTCATCAATCGATCACTTGACAATTTTTTTTTATTGCAAATATATTTTAACCTAATTCCTATCTATTGATAGCCTTATTTGTAAATGTGCTTTATATAGTGCCTCACTGTGCGAATCTCATCATCTGTATCTCTATATATAAAACTGTTTGTCCTGACTGACAGACTGACTGACTGACTGACTGACTGACTGACTGACTGACTGAGATCAACGCACAGCCAGGAAGCTGAAATTTTCACTGCAGTTACCTTATGTGATGTGGGGGCACATTAAGACAGGGTTTCGCGAAATTCCACCCACATGTGTGGGAAAATCGCGAAAAACGTTTGTATGAAACTTTCTTGTTTACCATCCGATCGGTCTAAAACTCATTTTCAAAGATCTTTGTTCAAATTCATTTGAGGGGTGTTTCTAACTTTTCTAAAAATGCATTCCTTCTTGGTGGAAATGGGGATCAGAGATTTGGTGGCTGACGTTTCGCCCTCAAATTCATTTCCATTGATTTACATAAAAAATCAATTGAGATGTTTCAAATTTTTCGCAAAATAAATTCAAAATTCTCAGTGGAATGTGCAATTCAAAGATTTTTTGGTCAAGTTTTAAGTTTTGTTCGATTTGCTTCAAACTTATGTTCAAAGCTGTACATAAAATCTTAATGAATACGTGTTTTAGCTAATTGGGAAATTCCACCCAGAACAGGGGTTAATTAGCGAAAAACGTTTGTATTAAAGTTATTTGTTTACCGTCCGATCAGTTTCAAAATTATTTTCAAAGCCTTTTGAGAAAATTTATTTTATACGTACTACGGGCAAGGCCGGGTTTTACCCGCTAGTTTATGTATATATGCGTGTATTTATTAGTCGATATGTTTGTATATATTCACATATACATATATATCCCGGCCTTGCCCGTAGAAAGTTTTGTGCTTAGAACTTTAAATATACCTTTCTCATGCAGTTTCCACCAGTGAGAAATTTAAAATTACCTATACTATCTTGAATTCCATGTCTATTTAAAAATATAGTCAAATTCCAGTGTTTTGAAATTCATACATCCGTTTTTCTCGATTTTTCCACAACTTCCGGGTGGAATTTCCAAAACCCCGTCTTAACGTGCACCTTTAATTCAAAAGGTAACTAAAGTAACAAATTATTAGCTTGCAAACTCTTATGGCTTAGGCTGTGGGTTGATCACTAATCGGTCAGTTAGTCAGTCAGTCACGATAAACAGTTTTATATATAAAGATAAACCCAGCATTTGCAATACTTTAATACTTTCAGTCGAGCGATATCGAGCAAATTCAAAGAAATGTTCTGGCTCAGAATGGTTGATTCATAAAAAAAACTTTAAGCGACGTGGACGGCAGAAAAGATTTCGTCTCTATGTCTGAATATAAGGAGTCGAGATTATTTCACTTACTACTATATATAAAATATATATATATGGTTACAACAAATTATCGTATGCATGTATGTATTGTCAAATCTAAACACTTTGTTATATTGATCGAAATTAATGTTATTTTTGCAACAACAACAAATAAAATAAATCTCTTTTTTTGAGATTTCGATCGATCTGTTTATTTGTTTTTCGTGAACATATCGTTGTTTGGTATGTCGAATATGAATATATATATATATTACTAAATGTACATATTTACAGCAAAGATTCGTGTGAATTTCGAACTAATTCAATAAATTGTTTTGATATATGAAATGAGTGTTAAAATATAATTTCAAACTAAACTTGCAACTAACAATATGCCAAATGAAGAGCTAAATTAAACTAGTGTTTGTCACAGTTTTCCTTAAGATTACAATATAAGTTCCTAAATGCGTTCGGCCAAATGCGATTTACAAATATAGAGCTGAGAACGGGAAATACAAGAAATTTCATAAGAAACTGAATAGCATTTTAAAGACTAGAGGTTTTATAAAGCTTGATTAAAATGCGAATACCTTAAATGCGCGCGGCCATACACAAATTAATTCAATTGTCGTTACATTTTTCCTACATGAACTCATCCGTAAAGGAGGTTCATTCTGGCTATTAGATAGTCAACATGCAACAGGCACTTTCGTGGCTACTCCCTGACTTGATTTCATTTCAAATATGTTCCTATTTAAAAAAAAAATTATTTTTGGTTTGAATGCTAAATACATCTTGTACTTGATGCCTTCGATCCTCGGCGATGCTAATATTTCTTCAGCTGCTCGTATGTGATGAAAAATATGATGTTCCAGGGGCCCATGCGTACCCAAGTCGGTATAAATCCCTTATATAACGCAAAAAGGCCTTCGTTACGAATTGTTTGCACAGCACAGTCCAGACTTCCACTATAAAGTTTCGCCGGTGATGCAGCTGCAGTAGCTAAGCCACCGTTCAGCACTGTCACATGCCTCTGATTCATTAGGCGGGTCTATGGCAAAATTATTTGTATTTTTAAATATTTGGATCTACACGCGCTTCACTTCTCTTCACTTACCCGAATCACATCAATTGGAGTCGAGGCAACAGCGCTGCCCAAGCTGGCAATGAAACTGGAACTGAAAATGCAGGATATTAGTAAAATTCTTTAGTTTAGCAAATTGGAAATTTGCGTTTGGGTCTTACACAAAATGGTTGGCAACTTGATCGCCAAAAGCGCTCATTAGCTGCAGCTTGCAAAAGTCATAGACTGGCAGCTCAACGGATGCAATAACCACGGCTCGCTGCGCCGTTGGCCCTACGCCACGCCAGAGTCCGCGCACACCCTCATATTGGTATATCTCCTTGAAGCAACCGAGCAGGCCCAGTTGATCGGTTCCCTTGCCGTGCACCTGCATGCGCACCTTAAGCACATCCGTGGGATTCGCAATGGCCGATGAAATGGCGCCTGCTCCCGCCGCACAAATGATGTTGCTCCAAACACGCTCACTGCCGTCGTTGTCCATCAGCAGGCCACGTTCGCTGGCCAGCTTCTTAAGCGTGTAGTAGGTGCCGAATTTGATAGTTCCATAGGTGGCCTGTCGCAGCACCGCTGGCCAAATGCTGCAACACAAGAACAAGAATTACTTATCAAAAAAAAATACACATTTGTTTATGAACACAAAGTCTAAGGGGTTGCTTTCGCGCTTATCATCAAGCAGGGCCAAAGTTTACTGGCCATTTCGTGCGATGAAAACTTGACGGATTATAACACGAGACGATTTATATTTCATTTAGTTAGCGTTTTTAAGCGCCGTCTCTCGTTATCAATGTGCATACAAAACAGTTTTATACACACGCACATGAGTGTGTGCAACTTGCACGTTATTGGGTCACTTCGACTGAATTCGACTTGGCGCATTCGCGTTGTCTCACCCTGAATACAAAGCTCTCAGTCCCTCCTCCCTTGAGATCTTTACAAATGCATCTGTCATGCCACGGTATCGTAGTTGCGAAAAGGTTTGATCGATTTTCTGTCCTTGAATTTGAAGACGGGTCTTGGTTGTGTCGATTGGAAATGTGCCTGCATATAAATAGACATGTGCATGCGCATGAGACCAATGTTTGTTTACACCAGGTTCTTTTTTCTTTTTTTTTTTTTTGGAAATAACCAAAATGCACAAATCATCGGCTCTATTAACTTACCAAACTCGGCTGTTATGGACGCCAGGCCGCCATACACAAACGGCCGCCAATCCTTGACTTCAGCCATGAGCACAGCAACAATTGCACCTGTTGAGTGGTTGCAATTCGTAGGTCCCGGCTCGTTAGATTAACAAACAAAAAAGTCACGCAACAAACATGCCGTGTTCGCGGAAAATTACATAGTGGCCTGCAGAACAATCGATTTGATTGTATGCTATTTTCGATACTATCGATACATTTGCATTGTATTTCCTTATCGATATAAGCAATTATACACACTCCTACAAAACTTTTAACTCTAAGGTTACACGCAGGTGGAAATTTAATAACAAATTAAATCCAGAAAACGGTTATTTACATAACTTTTTATAACCGTTGGAATAAAATGCAACAATGGGGACATACAGCTGTTATTTTTACATTACATCGAATATGGGAATATTATTCTGTCTTATGCACATTATCTTTTCGCAACCACTAATTTTTGTATGTTTTGCCTAATTCCACAATCAATTTTTTTCAAAAAAGTGTCCTGTACGTTTTCCCATAGGAAAACACATTTTCCACATTTTCAAAAAATTGTGTTATTCGCCCCGAATAATTCGTGTTTATTCCGATGATTAATCGAATTTCATATCGCTGTTATGAAAAATATGAAAAAATCATTTCCACAAACAGCTGATATAGCTGCGAAGGTAAGTGGTAACTTTAAATGATAGTTTTAAAATTGTAACAATCACACAGTTTTTAACATTTAAAATTAACGAAATCTCGGAAGGAATATATTAAATGGAGCCCCTACTTCGAGGCCGTTCTTTTTGACCTGTGGAAGGAAAACTATGCGGCGCTTAGGTCTGCGCAAGAAAACGTGCACATATTCCAAACATATTAGATCTGGCTTCAAAAGCTTATGTTGGGAAGACGTGCGCTCAAAAATTGATAATATAACGCGGAAGTAGAAGTAAGGATGCTTCAATTTATTTATATTATAAATAACATTAGATTTTTTATCAGGAGCGAATTAAATGCTGTAGGCGCATCTGAAGGGGACCCATTTTGAGCGGATTCATAGAATTCTTGGCTCAGTAAAATCAATTACTTTTCACAATAGTGCCACAGAGCACAGGTAAATTAAATTTGTATTCCCAATTTTAAATCAAAATGGAATACGTTCCTTCAAAACATATTTAAATTACAGATGAACCAATTACTGAGAGAACTAGGCTAGGCATCGCACTCATCGCGCTCTCCATTCCAGACTTCAAGCGCGCAAGCCATGGATTATCTCCGTCCCGCACGCCGCATTCTGCAAAGAGACGCGAGTTCAGAAAGCGACTGAATTGAATCCATTCGAAGCGCCCGTGGTGGCAGCCATGAGGGAGCGCACCGAGGAAATGACCAAGATTGCCAATGCACGGTTGGCAATTTTGGAACGAATAGAGAAGTCTATATCAAAATAGTTCAAATATAGAAAGCTTTTTAGTTATTAAAATTGTTTTTATTTATTGCCACGCCATTATTATATTTGTAGTTTTGTCGCATTGGTTTAATCCTTTATTAATCCTGCGGAAACGTGCCTTTAACTGGCCAAAGGCCTTTCTTCTGCTGCTCCGGCGCAGAAACGCAAAAAGGATACGGCTTCATGAGATTTGTGCTGAAACGAAATGCCGAATCGCTAAGCAATACCACTGGTACGTCGACTCCAGCCAATTTTTTCAATGATAGTTTTCAATGAGCTATTTTCATAGACTTGCGAATCGTGGCAGCTACCCGGACAACCGACATTCACATAAAGAAATCTGCTAAACTAAATATAAAAGAGTCCGATAATTGGTATTGGCCATATCCACTGAAGCAGCTTTATCTTTAATTACGAATAATCCACCAGGACCAAAAGGATAATCGAGTATCATTCCTTGTAGTTTTAGTAGTCAATGGCCTCGGGCGGCAGTTAGATGAATTTCTATGTGCCTTCCATCTATAGAGAACGTAATTATAATCTGCTTAGCGAAAAATTAAATAGTTCATACCAATCGCACCAAAGCACTGGGGGAAACCCATATCCTCAAATCCCCGAACACATTCCTCTACTTTTTCTTCGGTTAAAAATTGACGCGGCAGGTATTCGGGTGCAAGAACCCGTTGTACATCCCAGCAAAATTCGTGCAATATTTTTGCAATGCCAATGCGCTTTTCAAGAGGAATACCTTTCCGGGAACTGGTATCTTGTTCCGCCAAGTTTTGAAGACGGGCAACAAGTATTTCGAAAATGCTTCTCTCAACGCGGAAGCTCTCTTTAAAAAAGGATGCTGCATTTTGAGGTACATCCTCCTCCCAAAATCTACCGAGTCCTGACTATTATATATTTTTCTATTAATTAAAGAATATACATATATTACAATTTTCAGAATTACCGATTGCCTGACACTTGACGGTCTGCGTTTTGGCAATTTTTGTGACTGCATTAGGTCGTCTTCATAAAACTGTCAAACTAATATTTTGATCAATATATTTTAATTCAACGGAATTCATTTTTTGGACATTTACTACGCAAATATAAATCAAAATAAACGAATCGGCTGTTTTTTTTTCCTTTGTCACTCACATGTTACCGACAACCGACACTTGCCAATGGAACCGCAAAATGTGAAGTTTGAAAATGTAACATTTTTTTAAGCAAATGCTTCAGACAATTGAATTCAGTTCGCTTTTTATAAGTACGAGTTGATTATCTATATGATTTGACTGATGTGAAATGTAAGTGGCAACATATATGTACAGTATGTATGTATGTACGCTTGTATGTATGTTTGTATGTATGTATGTATGTACATATGCATCTGTATCTGAATCTGGTAACTTGACCGATAAATATTTGCAATCGATTTCCTTTTGTTTTCTCTGGGTTCTTGTTTCGACAAGTAACCGTTATCCCCAAAACTTTTGTTCACGCAGCATAATGAATTTGGGAATCTTAACTTATCAGATATTTATCACCGATGTTAAGTGAATGTTTTAGATGCAGTTTCTAAGAAGTTTCTACATATTTCGGCGACATTTTCACCGAGCTGGGAAAAACTGGTTGGTATACGTATCTGCATTGTAAAAGAAAATTGTATTGCATAAATGGAATCTATTGCAGTTCGATGCCCGACCTGCCATTAAAGATGCCCAGATAGAATTTACTTCGTCTAAAAGGCAATGAGAAGCATGCCCTGATGGAGGACGGCTACGTCGCGGCAGAATATTTCTACGTTCTGATCAGCAAGCACAGCGGCGTTAGGCCTTACCAGTTCTCATGGCACATCCGACAAATTTTCGGCCAGATTGATGAACAGGAGCCGAAACCGATCGAAATCACATTCGACTTTGTACCCGACAATAGGGCCGACAATGTTGAAGGAAAATCTGTGGTTCCTTCATGCAGGATGAAATTTCGGTAACGCCATACTGGCAGAAATCCAAGGCCAGCCACACTTTACGTCTGATCAGGTCTATAGCCAGAAAGCATCGTGAGCATTTTCTGCAGGTGTGTAGAGTTAAGAATGGGATCTTTTGGCGTGTCAATTATACGCAAACCGCATTTTTATACCCTAAACCCATTAAAAATGGGTAAAAGGGGTATAAAGTATTCTCCGACTCCATAAAGTATATATATTCTCGATCAGCATCAATAGCCGAGTCGATCTCAGAACCTGTAAGAGCTAGAGACTTTATGTTTGGAATGTAGGTCCGCCTGGTGTCCGCGCAGCACGAGTTTGTTTCCGATAATCGATAACTTGCCCCGTTTCAAAGCAATCGATAAAAATCGATATCGAAATCCTAATTTTTAAGCAAATCTCGTAAACTATAAGAGCTGGAGACACGAAACTTGACTTGATAGTATATCTATATAAATATCTTTAACTAACTATTGCCGCATTTGGTGTTCTCTTAATAGGGTTCAGGGTATCCCCTAGTCGGTAGCTCCCGACTAGAGCTCCTTACTTGTCTATGGATCTTATCTGTATATAACCTTCTCTTTCGTTTTACAGATATATGCTCGTGTGGTTACAAATATTCTTATCAATTTTCGCATTTAAGGTTTTGTCAAATGCATTTAAATGTTTGCAGCCATTGAAGGGGAAAGTTGAATTACAAAATGAAACATGAAAGTGTTCAAATTGTTGTATATTCATTCCGTAATAATCAGATAATCTTATTTTATATATGGTATTATAAATGAATAGATGTGAGTTAGATAATACAAAGTATCAAAACAAAAAACTGCGTCGTACAGCGAATTTGGCATGCAAATTTTGGTATAATCACAAATAAAATGGAATTCAAAAAAACAAACGAATGGGAATTCCTAAGACTCGCCAGATCTGGGCTAATCTGGGTTCTCTGGCCTTAGCCTTGTATTTGAAATGTTTTGATTTTAGTCAAGCTTCGTTTAGTTGACAAATTCGCCAAATTAAATTGTTGTTTTGCTAAATTGTTTATCTAGCTGCGATGCGTAGACATGGTTTATGTACATACATATGTATGTATTTTGGTTTATCCACGTCATTCATTTTAAATTCAAACTCGGCCCGGATCGTGAAAGTCGACGGCGTCAGAAAGTCGCCGGCATTTCGGACTAGTTCGACTATGCTTATTAGAGAGGCGACTGTCGGGCGGGATTGACGCTTTTGGGTTAAACCCGAAACCGAAACCGAATCCGAAAACGAAGCGACGAGAAGCGGACGACTGGAACTTGGACCCCGGCTGGCCAAAACAAAGAATTTCAATTGCCCTTTTATATTGTGTAATTAAAATGTAATTTTATTACTTTACAGTTAATTTAGTTTAAATGCGCATTCCTTTGTCATCCCCAATTCGTCAGTCGCTAAGTGATTTTTGCCAGTGGAGCGGGCAGCTTCTAAAAGGCACCCAAAGCCATTAGCCACAATATAATATATAATATATAATATAATATACAAATATCATCGGCTGATCCACTGCAGAGCAAGTTTTCGCCTTACTTGGACTTACTTGTTTTTTGTGTTTTTTTTTTTAAATGTAAGAGAGTCCCTTAGTCCTTTTTATGCTTTGGTATGTGGGCTCATCACTCGCTCCCTTTATCCTTATCGGCCTCGTCGTCCTGCTCGCTGTCGCTTAGATCTGGCTCCAGGCTCAAGTCACTATCCAGGGAAAGCAGGCCGGCCGCCTCTTCGAACGTCTCCTCGGAGCTGATAATCGAAATGTCGCTGCCCGTATCCTCAGTTAGAAGCGGCAATATATCCTCCGCATGGGTCGTGGCATAGAAATGGTTGTTGTACTCCTGGACAAGTCCGAGCCGCACCGCGATGCCTAACAGCACCCGGAGTTTTTTCTTAAAGGCGTGTGGATCCTTGACGGTAATGTTGGAGAACCTGAGAAGTCCGTCGACTGAAACCGGTTCGTTGCATCTCTTGAGGCATTGAACCAGCTGCTTAATGACAATATTAAGTGGTTGATTTGCCATAATTGTGTAATAACAATAAATTTTCACTATTTACTACAACTTGTAAAATATTTGAAAAACTGTGCGAGTGCTAAATGAACGTACGCTTAAACTGAAATTAAATTCGGTTGCTTGCTTCAATTTCAATTTCAAATCACAAAACTGTTTGCCTAACCCAAAGTACTCTGCTAAAAGTTTGTCAAAGTTGCTCCAGTTAAGGGTTAGTAATCGATCTGGTTAAGCCAGATGACAAAAACACTTTTCCTATTGGATATTTGTTGGGGCCAACTGGAAATGAATTTATGATATTAGTCTGTCATATGAGAATAAACTTTAATAAAAAATTCTGTCAAATTCGCAGAATTTATCGTGGCGACTCTGAGACGGAGCCCGCGCCACAAAAATTCCTGCATAATTAGAGACAATCGCAGCCAACTGCTGCGTCCACATTTCGACCGGGAAATAGATTCAAAAATTCATCTGTGGACCGGTCTGGACGGTAGCGAGCGACGTCGGCGACGTGTAATAAAAATAATAACAAAAAACTTCACGCAATGCTCCATCGAGCGATTAGCACATGGCGGAGGCTGGAACCGAGACCGAATCTCAGTCTCAGTCTCAGTTTCAGTCTCGGTCTCAGTCTCGGTCTCGGGGATGGGACTGATAAACAAAAGCACTCAAATCGATTGATGGATTATTGGCAATTTCTTTGGCGCCAGACTCTGTGCGGCGCGACTCGTCTGTTTTGCGTTGTATGCGGATTTGATAATTCGGGATTTTTGCCAAGCTAAAAACCAAAAGCAACGTGTTAAATATGCAAATTTGGCTCGTAACTTAATTAATTGTAGTCTGCATCGAAACGACTAAAGAAATTTCTTTCCCTATCACTTGGTGTTCCCATACAATTCAGGGGGAATACCAAATTAAAATGTTCAGCTTAACAAAGGCAAATCACAATAATCTTGAGTTAACCCCATAAATAATTCGCAAATTATTTTCATTTATTTATTTAACTTAGATTCGAGCAGCATGAAAAACAAATTAAAAAACGTTTCACCCAACAGTTTTCCACACTTGCCGCAGGAGTTTTCCTTCGCTTGCATCACACACAGGTAATTATGGCCTCGAAACTCGTAGGATTCCTCTTAAGGTCGGTCAGTCAGTCGGCCGGCAGAAGCAGATTTTTATATAGATACGTTCATTTAAGTGTAGGGCAATTTTAGTCTGCACCCAGCACACGTCCATTGAAATTAATCAGTAATTAATTGTTCACATATCGTTTAGTAAACACTCTGCTTGGGGCTTGGGGGGAACCTAAAAACTTGCTACTGTATGCGAGGGACTGTTTTAATACACAATTTATTACTAATTATGCGTCACGTCAAAACAAAAACCTTAAGTTTATAAATATTTATCAATTCGTGTGTTTGTTTTTATTTTGTTTCTTTTTTTTTTTTGTGTGTTTGTTTTCGTTTTGTTATTTTCCTTTAGTTACAATGCCACATTGGCAGCAGGCACGTAGTCCAAAAACTGGGCAATAACATTAATACGAATCAACAATAAATCAGCTATAAAACGGCTGCTCGGAATGGAATTTTTAGCATATAGCCGTCGGCCGGGTGCCCTCGCCCCTCGCCCCTCGCCACTCGTCCCGCGCTACTCGTCCCTTGTGCTAAGCCAAAACTAAAATGTTGTACCCGGTCATAATTAATAAATTCCAGCGTGCGCCGCAATATGAATTCGGTTTCAGACGCGCCGGGCCAAGGCAATGTCAAAAGCAACAGCAACGGCAACGGCAAACACAGGCAAACAAACAAGCAACAAAAACAACAGCAAACACAACAAATTGACGTCACACGGTCACCGTTGTTATCGTATACGGTCTGAGGCTTGGAATCGCCAGTCGCGAGTCTGTGTAGTTGTTGCTTGTTGCAAGTGTGACAAGCGTATCGGGACTAGGAACGGGTTAAACGGGTATTGATCCCCCCAAATGACAATACACGGAATGAAGCATCCAGAGGCTGGAATCTCAATTGGATTTTATATGCCTAAATCAAAAAAAACAAACCGTTTTCATATTAGTTTAAAGGACACTAGAAAAGCATATTAAAAAAAAAAGTGGGTAATAGCATAAAATATAAAAAGCCGACTTGCCTTTTCTTTGTCTACGAAAGAATGACGGGCAATGCCGGACACAGATAATAGGTACATATTTAAGCTCTGGTATATGCAATAAAACAAAAACAGACAAGAGGCGACTAGTTTCCATTAAGCGGTACGCCCCCTGTCGGCCGACGGCGTCAACTTGGCGTCAGTCGAACGGCATAATAATCACTGCGAGCCTGTGCTTCTGCTTGGAGGCCTCTGTCAGGACCAATTACAACACACTTTCCAAGCGGTTATAAAAATACATATGTTCATGCATACGTCCATAGACTGGCAAAATTGCAGCAGCAGAGGCTTACATACATATGTATGTATGTACACATATTTAAATAATAAGCATATCACACTGTGCATGACGAGTGAACAAATCTAAGCTGGAAATGAAATGAGAATCTCAGTTATAAAGCGATCATTGTGCCATTCAAAGAAAGGGGGCGACGAATTAATTACAAGAATTCCGAAACGCCCCCAAGCAACTAAGCACGCCTACACTATGCCCCCCAAACCAGACGGATTTGATTAAAATCGCCGGAGAGTTGTTGCCATTTGAAGTGTTCGAGCAATTATTTACACAAACTGCAAATAATGCAGAACAATGGAGGGCAGAGAACGCGTGGGCAAACCGCTAAGAGATAAATAGAGAAAAGGCATTTCGCCGGCGCAGCGAATAGTACATACAAACATACAAACATAAATATATAAATACGTATACAGCAGAGATTTATGGTGCGCGTTAGGCTCGGAATAACCCAAGACGCAAAAATGTGAAGCGAAAAAAGCTAAAAAGCGAAGCAAGCAAACAACGCAGTCAAAAAGAAAACATGTGCTTCGCCGCACACCATCACCAGACAGCGAGAATGTCTGTGTGTGTGTGTGTGAGAAAGAGAGAGAGAGAGAGAGAGAGAGAATTAGACCTGTAACATTCGCTGGCTACGGACGCTTAAATATGAGCGTCACTGGCCGCTGTAGCCTCAGTTGCTGACTGTCAAGTGTCCAGTGCAAAGCTCCACAAAGCAAGCAAAAAGTTGAACCTCTGTGAAAGGAACCGTGTGGAAAACCAATTAAACAATATATTGCACACACATTATACAAAGAAAACCATCTGCCAATAATATAAATAAATCGCAAAATGTACGCGGAAAAAGTTTGTGTCGCACTCGCGTTCATTGCCTGCCTCGCCTGCATCGCCGATGCGGCTGTTTACACTCAGCCCGCGGTCATCCATCCTGGTTAGTATCTTTAAAAAAAAGTGGGCTGAACCCGTAGGCCGTAGGTCGTATATCTAGTATTTGATGGGTTACATTAAAAAACTATTTTTTCTCTTTAACTATCATAAATTGGCACAAGCTAAATAGAATTTAATAGAAATACGTCAATACGAGCCCAAATCTGATGATGCCAAATCTAATGAAATTATTTTTTTTTAACAAAAACCTAACGACCTTTAGCAACAATAAAGAGTGAATAAAGCTAAAAGCAGCTGCCAGTATAAATGATTGATTTATGGATCAGGCTGAAGATGTTTGCGAGAGTTTTCTTATTTTGTAGTATTATCGAGTGTTGTTTAACTATTAATTGTAACTGTTTGTTGCGCTCGACGTCAGAGTTTGATTATTGTTTTGTTTTTGATGTGTTTGTTTTTTGTTTTTATCTTATGAAAGATGTGATTTATATTTTGTTTTGCTGTTTTCGTTGACGTCAACAGACAGAGGAAAAAATGACAGAAATAGAAAAAAAAAACATAAACATAATCGTAGTATAAACAACGCAAAACAGTCGCAGCCGAATTAACAACAACAAATGAATTTGTTGTTATTTTATATGTTTCTTTCTTTTGGGGCAAATTTCGGTTTTTGGGTTTTTCGCATCTGCCAAAAATTAGCATAAGAAATGTGCTGATTTCTGCTGTTGTTGTTGTTGTTGCTGCTGCTGGGTTTTATTAACAAATGCAAATTCGCAGTGCTAATTTGCATAGCTATGCGGATTTGTATTACAAAAATGTCCCAGCTTTTGATAAAATAGTTGCTCGATTTATTTATCTATTGCTAATTTGTCGAACGTGAAGGTCGTCCAACTTCTGGCCGGGTTTGGGTTTGTTGGATATTGTTAAAAATAGGCGATGAGTTCACGCGAATTTCTTTAGCCCAATCTCAATGGAGTGCATGGAAACAAAAAAAAAACAACAATTTTAAATGAATGCTCGGAACTCTTTAAGATCGCACCGCCCGCGACCTGAATGCCAAATGCCGAGTACCATTAATCAAAACTTCGCTTGCTGCCTGGCAAATTTAGCCGGCGGCAAATTGTTATAAATAATGGCGCGACGCTGTCAATTGTTTGCAAGTACCAAAATTGAGAGTTTGTTGTTATTTGTTGTTTTTCGTTTATTTATAAATATGCCACAAGAGAAGCTGAACGTAATGTATTTTTGAATGTATTTCTACTTGCCTCCGTTTCAAAATGGCTAGGCGTGACTGGCAAGTTCGTGGCTTAAGTCTTTTGATTATTTTTGGCCTGTCACGCCGAAATCACTTCGAAAGCAAATACTTACAGATCTACAGATATTTATATATTTATACTTATGTGAGTTTTGCATGCTGCAGCTGACTTCCTCATGCATAAATAATAAATGAATGCATGCAGTTGTAAAAAAACACAACACGATATACAAAGGGGGGGAAAAAAAAAAGAAAAACAACTTCCGCTTTAACTGATTCGCCGTCTTTTCCATTTTACTTGCAGCGCATCCCGGCAAATGCTACGACAAGCTGACCAGACGCTCCATGCTACCCGACAAGGAGTACAAGCCGAAGGGCATCTGTGCCGCCATGACGTGCGACATTGAGGCGCGTCAGATCAATATCGAGACCTGTCCCTACATTGAGATGCCCGGCTGCGAGGAGCTGCCCAGTGACCTCAACTGGAGCTTCCCCAAGTGCTGTCCACAGTTCAAGTGCGTCGACTTTAAGACCGGAAAGGAGTTTGTCGTCTCCGTTTAGATCCAGAGAGCAACATACTCTACATACTCTCTCATGGGGGAGGGGGCAGTGGTGCCGCGGGTGGGGCCAAACGTGATTTTACATGAAATGTATTCGTAGTTTTCTAGTTATTTGACTGTGTGTGTATGTGTGCTAGTTTGTAAGCCCGTTTGTTTGGTTTTGTGTGAATGATTCATTTAGCAGGCATAATTTATTTATTATTCTAATTTGTACATAACAAAACGATTTGCATTCATTTCTTGTAAAACTCTTGATGATCTTTAATCATGTTTCATGTGTGAACAGTTTTTCTGTGTATATACAGAACTATATATTAACTATATATTAATGTTATATTTCTCTTGTTTTTGACTTATTCAAAAACCTCTGTATGCGATATTTGCAAATGTGAATAGTTACTAAAATAAAAACAACAACAATAATATTAAACCAACGCATTCGATATGAAACTGAACTAGAATACGTCGCACAATCTATACACAGTGCAATCTTTCCCCATTGTACTCAATAGATATTTCGTCATTTCCATATTTGAACATCTTTCTTCTCGTGACGCGCCAATATCCACTGGTGTTACGCGTCCGTCGGCTTTTTTGGACTTTGTCAACAGGCCAACCAGCCGAAACCGTTCGTTTAATTAGCAGTGCCGCCTCGACATGGCCGGCTGATTCATCTTGGCCTTTGAATTGGCAAACATCGCACATTCCACCAAAAAAAAAAAACAAAAATAAATACTCCAAAAGCGATCACCAAATACGAGCAAAAGTTTATTGGACCCCCTTTTTGTAGCTGATTTGCATACATAATTTGCAGTGCTAAAAATACACATGACTGTTAGCAGGAAACACCAAAATATGTGTTTCGGAAATGGGCTGTAAAATAGTCAAAGATATAGCTTATGAATGCAAACATACATGGAAAAAAACAAACAAAGTTTTGTGAGTCACCATCTAACAATATTTGCAAAAGATGTCAATAATAGTCCACTGGCACACATCTAGACGAGATTGCCTTTCACTTATAAGCTTTTGCAACTTTGAAACTGGCGCGCAATGTGCATGTGCTTACCAGCACTGTTTCGACAGTGCTTTGAGAACTGATAACAAATTAATTGTGGTGGATGGCGATAACAACAGTCGATAGCATTTACGCGTGTCATCGTAATCCCCAGTTTGGGCGTTGTTTTCGTCGTATGTGTTTTGTTTATATTCGTACAATTGTGTATTAAATATAATTGTTAAACGAAATAATTAATTAAAAGTTATCAACAAACAATGCACTCACATGTCCCACTTACTGTGCTGCTGCTAACGGCGCTATTAATTCGCGATGGTAAGTCAGAAACTGACATCGAGCCGAGCAGAAGGAGAAGCAACAGCTCGTTGCTCATTTGTCATGTGGAGCTGCAGCAGACATCTTTCTAATTGAAGATTTGTTGACAGGTGCTGCAATTTGGTGTTATCGCTGCACTTCCGCCACGCCCGGCTGCGCCGACAACTTCAACTGGCGCGGCATCGGCTTCCTGGGCGAACAGTGTCCCGAGAGCAACGATATTTGCGTTAAAGTGACCGAGCGACGCGGCGCCAAGGAGACCATAACCCGCGACTGTCTCAGTGCGCTCAACTTTCGCACAGACATTCCCGCTGACAAGTACGAAGGCTGTCGGCCGGCAGCAAAGGATTTGCGCCTGGCCCACTACGTCAATCACACGATCAAGGAGCACGACGTGAAGCGCGACTACTTCACTGACACGACCTTCTGTTTCTGCTTCCTAGACCATCGCTGTAATGGAGCCAGCGGTCTACATAAGTCAGCAGTGGCCGGAGCAGCTGTCCTCCTCCTGCTGCTGCTCGGCACACTTCAGTCTCACTGAACAGCACTTAATCCTAGTACCAAAGTGCCTTACCATTAACGACAGTTCAATTTTCAACTCGAATCTCGTTTAGCCACATTCCGTCCAATCACACAACAGCTTACAATTTTTATGTAGTCTCTATTTACCGAACTACTTATGTAATACAATTTTTATAATATACACAGATGAAGTCTATGAAATCGTTGACTCATGCCAGGCATTCCAGATTGAGGGCCTGCTTTGGCGCCCGGTAATCGTAGCTTGCTAGCTCAGGATGTGCGGCCACATGGTCTGCATAGACGTGGGCGAGGCGCAGACACTCGTCCACGGACAGCTCAAAGGGACGCAGCGTATCCTGCACATCGGCCAACTGGAAGAGCGCGTGTGTTGTCTCCTCCCGTCCGTCTGGCGGCAGCAGGGTGCTGTAGCCACGGCGACAATATTTCTGGCGCATGCTGAAGATGTGGCGCACGACGCGTTCCACGAGCGAGAACGGCAACTGCGTCTTGGGCTTCTTCAGAGGTATAACTTTCACAACGCCAACGTCCACTTGTGGCTTGGGCACAAACGCCTTGCCCGGTATGATGAACTTGAGCACCGGCTCTGTCCAGATTTGGGACATGATCGAGAGACGGCAGCGCTGATCGCTGCCCAGCTTGGCGCAAATGCGCTCGGCCACCTCCTTCTGGAAGGTGAGCGTCATGCAGGTGTCGTTTCGCCGAAAGGCGCCGCGTCGTGCCGCCAAATCCTCGTACCAGTTGATAAGCAGGCGGGTGGAGATGGCAAACGGCAAATTGCCAATCAGATGCAAGCGCTGAGCGGTGTCCGGCACGTGCTGTTCGATGTTGAAGCGCAAAATATCCTCATGGTAGATGTCCACCTGCATTTCAAGGGGGCGGGCGCATTCGCGCAGCAGTTGCAGCGTTTCGGTAAACCTGGCATCCTTTTCGACAAGCATCAGACGCTGCGGCTGGCGACGCAGAATGGAGCGCGTTATGCCACCGGGACCAGGACCTACCTCTAAGACAATATCGCGTTGATCTATGCGACCAGCTGACTTAACGATCTTGTCCGTCAGACGCTCGTCCATGAGAAAGTTTTGGCTGAGCTGCTTCATGGCCTGCAACTTATACAGTTTGACCAAATCCCGTATGCTCGGCAGCGGCGGCAGTCGGACGCCGCTGCTAAGGATGCGCGCTGTGGCTTGAGACATCTGCAAACGAAGAGGCAATGAGCGCCAGCGGTAGGCGAGATGAGGCAATACTTACAATTAATATTGGTTATACAACGATTTCAAGGTAAGTGCATAAAATAAATGGAAAACGCTTAAAGACTAGGTGGTTAACGGTAATAGTGGGTGCTGGGCGTATTTAGTTGGTGGTCACTTTTTTGGGCTCCTCGAAATCGTCGAGGAACTTCTCCTGCTGCACAGAGAATATGGAGTAGCCGTATATGGCCAGCACCGAAACGCCTAGCGCTCCGGCGGTCAGCAAATTGTTGCGTCGCACACGTTTCAGTTTCTGGACACGATCCAAGTTCTGTTGCTCAATGAGTTTCATGAACTGCAATTGGGCCTTGTCTAGCTTGGGTGCGGTTTCTCCGTACTTGATTTTTGGTGCTTGTTCCGATGCCGACATTATTACTCAAATCGGGTGATGATGTTTGTTGGCCTGCTTGATAGGTATTTTCTTATTTCGATCAGAATTTTTCGGCAAAAATTATGAAATCTCACATGAATTAGTGATGGCCGTAAATCATTGATAAGCACACATCGAACACTCGATAAAAGACAAAGATAATCGGATCCATCGATAACTTATATCGATGTTGCTAAGGCAATGTTGGGAAACATTTGCTCAATGTCAGGCAACATAGTGTCTTCCGATTGGGGGCTCGAGTGCAACGTGAAAAGCTGAGTAAAGCAGTTCGTGGAGTTTGTGGAGCTGTTCGCTAGCATTGTACTTTGTGTTCCGTCGAGTGCTATAATTTCACAAAACGCCAGGAAACCTGGGAGCTAAATTACTGCCACTGCTTAGCAAAAGCAGCCTGGAAATTAAGCGCAAACCAGAGACCAGCCAATTTACAAAGTGCGTAGAAAATGATATGTACAGAACAAAAAGAAAAAACTACATTTTGATTTGAGCAATTATATTGATACATCTGTACATTAAATATGTATGTATGTTTATATATAGATACCATATGTATTGTAAATAAATGTGTGAACTATGATTACTCAATTGAGGAAATGAAAGCAAATCCCAACTCAAATGTTGGTACAAAAATTTGGTTGCGTGTTTTAAGACCAAGCTGAAAAAATGTATAACAAAAAAATAACAACAGCAACAGCAACAACAAAAGCAAAACAAACGCGTAATTGCAGAAATCAGCTGTGTACCTACAGCTCCACGTTCGTCACACACACACAATGAAAAACAAACGACACACGAGCAGAGACAGCAAAACAAAACACGATTCGTGCTCCAATTGAGCGCCAAACAGTCACTCTCTTCCCTCTGCTCGTTTCCCTCATTCGACAAGTCACACAACTAACAGCTGGTCGAGTGCTCATTCGCTCTCGCTCTCTTTTGCTGGTGTTGTGTATTCTCTGGCTCTGGCGTTTTGCCTTTATATGGTTCCGTTTTCCTTTTGTTTTGATTCTGCAGTGCAATCAACTAGTCAACGTTCTGATGCTCTCTTGCAGCAAAATTAGCCACAGTAAGGAGAAGGAAAAATGTAATAAAAATATTCAACTGCGCAATGTACAAGAAAATGAGCCTGTCATTTAATCTATTGATGTTAACAATTCCATTTATGGAAGTCAGCTGATTGGTGCATTGGATGGGTGAAGAGTGTAGATAAGTCGACTTGATAGTCTAACTTTTACATAAACTTGGAAAATGCGCAACAAATTTTTGTAGCACGGTTTGAATTGCCTAAAATTTTGAAATTTCACAAATATCTTTTTTTTTTTGCAGCTAATTACAGACACTAAGCTAACCTAACTAGCGCTCATATAAAACGCGTTATTGAAACCGCCGTCCACATAAACATTACAAAATAACAAAAAGTTAATAATAAACAAAAAATAAAAACTTGAGAGTAATTAAAAAATACTCGTAATACACAGTATACCGTAATAAGTAAAAACAAAACACACACATGGCGTTCATTTCGAAAGATTTTCGTTCCCCTGGCGAGGCTTGGGTCAAGACAGACGAGGGCTGGGAGCGCAAGAAGGTGCTCGAGTGTGGCGGCAAACGCAAGCGGTGAGTCTTATTGGGAAATGCGGGGGAAACAATACGCAGCTCCGATTAGCAATCAATCGATTGATGACAAACACACATTTTTGACAATCGATTTGAATTGCGTATGCGTTCACAATGCAATCTCGACGGACAAGACAATGGAAAATTTTAACTTTTCGAGTTTGGTATTGTTCATACGATTTGGGTCACATTCACATACGCTATGAACATACATACCTACATATAAATATATATTTTGACCTGCCACATTTTGACAACGCATTCACAAGACAAACAAATTATAGATAAGATAACGCGCCCAAACAGATTAAAGGTCAATGCCACCGGAACAGTTTTTGATTTGGAAAATAAGAGTAAGGTCTTATTACGACCTTCAAAAATTCTTATCGGTCTTAGTTACTTTAAATACTTTGTAAAATTATAACACATGTTGCAAAAAGCCATACAATCTAATACAATGCACAAATATACATATAATATACGACTGTTGTATGATGCCAAACTAAACGATAATTGGCGTGCCTTGTTCAAAACACAATAACGTTTACCTTCTCTTTAGAGATTAACCACAAAACAACATCAAAGCCAAAGCAAACAAAAATAATGAGCTGACGAATGTTGAAATCGTATAAAAATGTTGATGTTGATGAATGAATATGAATGAAAAATTATTGAGATTTCTGTTTATTTGTACATTTAAAATGAATAGTTAATGTAGTAACATACAAAATATATTTTGAACATATATATGTAAGGTTTATTTGCGAGTATAAATTTGAAGAATAGCTATTCACATACATAGATACCTGAGATGCACACACGCACACATATGTATTTGATATGGATTGTAATCATTAGGGTGACTCACTGCAAATGAGCGTGAAAGTGACAGCGACAAACGAACGAGTGCTGTGAAGGGCGAGAGAGAGCTAGACGCTCCCATTTGATTGATTGCAATCTCTTTCTATTTTATTGTATGTATTTCGCTTAAGTGCAATGAAATGGCAATAAATACAAGTGTAGCACTCACTGGCAACACTTTGTATAGAAATCTGGCAACACTCTGATCCGAATTTATATTAGATGCCATGAAAACATTGATGATAAGGCAATGCTCGAATAGCATCTATTATATATTGGTTAACAGCGGCCAGATATTTTACAGGCATTAACAAAAAACCAGTTGGCTGAAATCTCAGGAGCATATAATCGGACAGGAGGGGTGGGGGCTAGAAACGTGACGGAGCGAAACGTGCAAGTTGAACGCGCATTCGACCCACTTGAAAGCCGAAAGCCTCGCAACGGTTTATATAAAGCAGAACACCGTAAAACGCAGATGTGCGACGGGGGAAGAAAGTCATTTTAAAGTGATTATTTTGACATGTCATATTAAGCACATCTTCTCGAAAAACTATTTTTGGCATTTGTCAGGCAGTCGGTATACGCAGTTCCTACATGGTAGGAAAAATATGCGGAAGCAGTGCGCATAAATAGGTTCTCTTGAACAAAAATTTCAAAATTAGCTGCCGCGAGTTTTCAGAAATGAACACGTTTTTCCTATACATATGCATACATATGTATGTATGTAACTAAGTCATATTTTTCGACAATCCTTTTAAATTGTTCGAGTTGAAGGACGAACTATGTACATATGTATGTACATACACAACTGGGCGGTGCGCAACCTTGGCAACTTTAATCCCACCCTCATGCACGTGCCGCCCTTTTGGGAAGGCGTGTAACTCGGTCAAGTTTAGCCGAAATTGCGAGTTTTGCAAATTTGTGCAAGTGTGTGTGTGTGTGAGTGTGAGTGTGTGTGTATTTGGGCGCTTGCAAAGCCCGTAAGAGCTCAAGGTTCCGCGTCACTTTTATGAGGCCAACTTCCACCTCAAATCGATTTTAAATTGGGCCCAAAATCAGGACTAGGAAAATTTATTATTATCATAAGATTAAGTCGTATAGTTAGTAGCTAGCTAATATTTATATTATTTTTGTTAAGCCATTTTAGGTATTCTTATGTCATATTTTGTATCTGATTCGTAAAAGTAAAAAGCGACTTAAATTATTAAACTAAATACATAAGTTAAATGTTGCACAATTCGTGCAATAGGAAATGCCAAAAAAATGCAATTCGTTACCTGGCCGAAAGTTTCATAACTGTGTTAGCTGAATAATTTTAATACTTTAGCTTTTCTTTGCCCAATTTTGTTGGTCAATTATAAATTCGATTGCATGACTCGTAATGCATGAAAAACATAATTAAAAATTCAAAATTGCTTAAAGACTCAAAACTAATCAAAGTGCATTTGCGGACGTGCAATTGGACCTGGATGCGGACGTGGACCCACTTTCACTGCACTCTCCATTGAGCATTTGTTGGCCTTTTGAATTGATTCGCTTTTTCATTTGTTTTTTTTTTTTTGTATCTACACTTTCAAAAGTCGGCTGCTACCGATGAAAATGCGTTCAATTCATTTTGTACACTGCACAGCAGGGCAATTCATTACAAGATCATCGAGCAATGTTATGTAAACGCCTAATTCTTAAAATCTTATATTATGCCAGTTCTCACATTTTACACTTAAAAAACTTGAACAACAACTGGAATTTATTTGTAATGCTTATTCCTTATATTGCCTCTACAATTTGCCAGATATAATTAATGATGTATATCAATTTCATGCTAAATTCTGAATTTCGAAGGTCATTCTAACAATTTTCATTGTTTCAATTGAAAATCAATTATTTAAAACAAATAAAATAGGGGAGCTTAACTATAGTGAGTCGATTTTTGCACTTGCTTTAATAACTTGCACATTTGCCAATTTTGTTGTCTAGTGTAATGTGCACACTTATCTTTTTTCTACTGCACTCACTTTTATTGTATCTTTTATCTCGTTACAACAATCAACTTGCATTTTTGTATCGTTGACTCATGAACCTCGACAAATGGAGCTTGCTACTGAAATTCGGCGCTATGCAAATAAAGCTCTTAATAAATTGGTTTCCGACTTTCCGAATGCTACGTCCAACTCCCAAACTACTTAATTATTTATAGCCGGAGCGACAGCGACATGTGATAGCTTCCAACTTCCAACTTGCAACTAAAATTAGACTAGAACTCGACACGGCACGGCACGGCACGGCACGACTTGACTTGGCTCGCATTGCCTCGTCCCGCTCTCCGTTCCCAATAGTTTATGTCTAAAAAGGTCACACACTTAAAAATAGACAAGCGAATTGCAGTCGGGGTCTGCCCCGGGGCCAGATCCCAGCATTGCATTTGTTTAATTTGCCCAAAAGAAAGGTAAACGAACGCTTGATGTTGACGTCGTTGACTGATTTATATGAATCACGTGGTCGTACCCACCCTCCCCCCCCTCCCCCTCCCCCCTCTGCCTGGTTTATGGTCCGCTAGCCAAAGCCAGCTGAGCAGTTGGTACATAAACTGAGGCTGTAGCCTATTCGCCT